GGAAAGAGAAAACTTAGGAGGGGCTTTTTTTGACTTCTGTAAAATGCTGCTCAGAATGGAATAATTCATTCTGTGGTCATTGTAGGTAGAAGAGTAAGAAACTGTGGTTGCAGTGAGGGACTTCAAATTTAGATATAACTCCTCTGACCACAAATGTTTCCTTCAAGTACTGAAATAGACTGTTTGGGTGTAGAATATTTTCTGTTGGAGCCCTTTAAGCCCTTATCAGGCAGATATCTGTAAGGAATGGGATGTAGATTATCTAAATTTTGGTGGTGAGAGGGAAGTCTAGATGTCCTCTCATGTTTTTCTGCTTGAGAGTGTATGGGCAAGGCAACTGGTGTGACATCAAGTGAATGCATACCCAGAAGAACCTGGAGAATGTTATAGAAGAGTGTTCTGCTTATAAATAGCACCATATACCCAAAAGGTTCATTAAAGTTTAAAATTAGAGCTTGCAGCCTTTGGTGAAGATTGCCAGAATTTAACACGATGTTTGCAAAAAAAAAAAAAAGGCAAATTGGCAGAAGAGATACCTGTAGGATTGTGAAAGACATTTCAGTCAGTGACCCCCGGTTGACCTTAGAACTGTAAGATGCTTTTACTTCACTGAATGGTTGCTTTGTAAATCCAGTAACCATTGGAGAGTGGAGCTGGGAACCTAATGAACAGAGGGAACTTGTTTTGAAATCAAGTTAAATTGCATAGTGGAAAAAGTACTGTAAATCTGTGTATTAAGTATCTTTTGTCCCCATGCAGATATCAACATCAATAATAAAGTTTATTTTCTTGGTAACATTATAAATAACTGTTATTTTACCAATTTATGCAGCTGGTTACACCCTCCAAGAAGTCACTGCAACAAAATGAAATGAAGGAGTTATCCACAACATTTTTACATTAGCAAGTGTCATTTTTAGGGAATAGGAGTTAGAAAATAAAAATAACTGTCAGAAATATTTTTGCTCTAGTGTTTTGTGAGTAGTTTGGGTTTTATTTGGGTCTTCTTTCCTGATTTTTTTTTTTTAAATGTGGTTTTATGTTTTCAGATGATGAACAAAGCAAACTGGAAAGCTCCTCAAGTAGTTTTGACAGCTACTATCCTGAAATTGCCAAGGTAATATATATTGTAAATGCTAAATCAGGATATAAATTACTAAATATAAGAGTTAGCCACATGAACGTGAAGGTGAGGTATTGGCTTGTAGCTTCACATCTGGGGTGCTTGGAAATCTTTGAAGTGTTTTTATGTAATAGATGTTGGTATTGAGCTTCCTCATGCTCTGCTTTTGGAAGCAAACTATCTACTCTCTTGAAGTTGCTTATATAAATCTTGACATGCTGTTGAAAAGCAGCATGTTTTATTTTTACCTTATTGTATTTTGAATGTTTCGTTTTATTTTATGACATGCAGGTAAGTACTAGCAAATTTCTATGGATACGTAGTTAGACTAAATTCAAGTTTCATTTTTATAGTTTGGAAGTCCAGAGAAGCTTAATAGTAGTGATGATGTGAATGTATTTTAAGATGCTTGTGTTTTAACGAACTGGAAAACTCCTTGCTATGATTCCCTTACTCTTTCTTCTGTGTGGCACAACTTGCAGTCCTGAAATGCTTCTGCTTGACCATGCTCTGGAATATTCTGCCCTTCTTTTCTGAGGGTCTGTCTGAACTAGCCACTACTCCTGAAGGGAGTGCATCTTAGAAACTGAGAACAAGCACTAAAATCTATTACAATAACTAACATCAAAAAAGATGCTGTCAGAATACATTAACAGGCTTTTAGCAGCCAAATCAGTTGGCTGACTTAGTTCTTTTACTCTTCTGTTATCAACGTAGCACATTTACCCAAAAAGCTATTGCACAAAAATCTAACTCCAGCTATGGCTGTATTTGGAAATGAATTTGGATTGAAGTGCATACAGTCAAGTGTTTCCCTTGGAAGAACTGTAGGCATGAAACAGCATAGTTACATGACATTATGAAAGTTTATTTCAGAAACAAATATAAAATAAGATGTTCTTGTATATGGAAGATTTTCCTTTCTGGTCAGAATCACTGGAATGCTTAGGTTCCATATGACTTCCTGGGAGGACTTGCATTCAGGGCTGCAACACCTGCATATAGTTTTAGTACTGCAAATGCTTCTTCCTGTTGCCATTATCTTCTAATTGGAAGCATGCAGCTCTTGAAGCTAGGTATTTTTCTAGCATGTTCTTTTTCTCAGCTCTTTAAGCACTGGCTTTTTTTTTTTTTTTTTTTTTTAATTCCATGTCTATAACCCATTTAAATTTCTGTTTCCTTCAAAGTAAGTTTTTCTGTTTTTCCCATTCTCATTCATCTTTACTGAATGCTACCTTCTCATACTGACTCTAATGTATTTTTTTTGCTCTTTTTTTCCCTGAGGAGAAGTCTAGGAGCAAATCTGTGCCTTAACTTGATTACTTTATATAAATACTGCTTGTTTTGAGTTTTTTTTTTTATTCTCTGTTCTTTCTTGCATTGCCTTTTCAGTTGTTACTTAGGTTTGGATTTGTTGGGTTTTTTTCCCCCCAGTAAAAGAGTTACAATGCATTGAGCCTTCTTTTAGAAGAGTTTATAGTTGCTCTATTATTTTTGCTGGTCTTAGGAGGATATTTTCACAATAGTTGACCTCATATCCTTATGAGGAAAAGAAATTATTTCAGAGGGTAATTGTGGAGCACCTGATAACTGGGGAAAAAACTGTCCTCTGAGGAAAGGTTTGACCTTTGTGAGCACATCTCCCAACCTTTCTTTTTCTGTCAACAGCTGTTAGTTTATAAAATAAGCTAAACAAGATGGTATTGTGTGCTTCAGTACACAGATGTGCATATATATATCTCCATCTGTTTGTCTCTCCTGCCTACTTCGTGTTTCTTTTATCTGTAACTGAAGTACCAAGAGTGAATGTAGGGGGTTTTTTTGTTGTGTTTGTTGGGGTTTTTTAACCTTCAGAGAAAAGAAATTAGACTTCTGTTTTAAATAACTATTTGACTGTCATGATCAGTGTGCCCAAGTACTTATTTAACCCTTTCTGGTCCCAGTGTTCCCTGCAGTAGGAAAGCATTGTCCCTGTTTTATGAGATGAGGAAGTGGAATTAGAGCCACTGATGTGCTGTAGACAGGGCTGATGGCTACATACATTTTCAGTTCCTGACTTCTGATCAACTCCTCCTCAATCTGTCAGTCAAAAAATACATGTTGTTGTCTTGCCTATAGTGCATAAAAAAGCAAAGGATCTAAAGGATCATCTTCCTTGTCAGCGCTTGCTACTGACTGTTCTCTTTCTAAAACATGTATTTTTGCCATCTGTTAACTTTTTTACAGTTTAGTCCTGTATTTCTTGATCATACTGGCTGTTGAACAAGCAAATGTGCTGGTATCATGTCTCTGGGTTGTGTCTTTCACAGCAGTTCTTGTCTTTTCTCCTGTGTGTGTTAAAGGTAACTAAGTGAAGTAAATTAAATCCTTTAGAGCATGAATTCTCAAAACCACATCTCAGAAGTTCCTTTTCTGTAATGCATCCTTTAATTAAAATTCTTTTTTATCGTTTTTAACCTCAAATAGAGTTTTGAGCTCTTACAGCTGGTGTTTTTTTTTGTGGGAGTGGTTTGGTTGGGTTAGTTGGGTTTTTTTGAGGCACACTTGCACTTCCTTCAGCCTCCAGTAAAGCAGATGTAGCTGGGAGATCACTTCTAGCCAGTGCCTAGTTATGAGAATTTTGGGTTGGGAACTTCTTCTTCTAACCAGTGTAGTCTGATCCAAGAATAGACACCTGTCTGTAATGTCTACCTCTGTTTAGCCAGCTGCTACTTTGGGAATGGCAACTGTGCTACATGGGTAATTTTGGTGTGTGCATATAGCCATTTGCCATGTCCTGTGACTTTTAAAATCACAGAATACTCCTTAAATAACACTTCGTTTTATTTTATTTTATAAAAGAACTAACCTATGCATACCACCACCAGTTTTCACATTCTGTTTGTTCCATTTTACTTTTGTTTTTTCTGTTTATAGGTAGGTAGCCACAAATCCCAGGCAGGATCAATGTACCTCCTACCTCTGCAAAGTAACTTTTTAAGTCTGAGGTGTTTGGGTTTTTCTTCATCTCTACACAGGAATACCACTTATTTGGCAGGTGGGCTCAAAAAGAAGCAATTTTGCAGTCTTGGGAGAGCCCTGAGCTTTAACCTACATTCATACAATTTTCTATTTTTTTTCATAAAATAGTGTTAAGGAAGTTATTTTTTAAGGAGGTGAAGCTCTAATGGAGAACACTTCCCATGAGCATGGAGGGTTATGTGTTACGTTTATTTGTTTTGAGGCCTGGAAGAGCCTTTAGGAGAGAGGAGCTTTCTTTCACTTTTTACTCGGATTTCAACTTAAGAAGTTGCAAAGCTTGGTTAGGGAGAGAAAAATTCAGGAATTAAAAACATGTGAAGCACTGAACACAACAGAAAAAGGAATGAAACTGAAAACAACTTTCATGTAATAAACTTTTTTTCTTACTTTGAACAGAGTACCAGAGAAGCAGAAATGAAGTTGAAAAGTGAAAGCAGAGTTAAACTTTTTGCCTTGGATCCAGATGCACAGGTTATACTTTTTTTACAAGGAAATATTCTATTTTTTTTTATTTTTATCCTTTTGAGATTAAAACCAGCTTACATTAGTTTTTCTTTTCTGTTTTTAAAGAAACTTGACTTTTCTGGTATAGAACCAGATGTGAAGCCATTTGAAGAGAAGTTTGGGAAGAAAATTCTTGTCAAGTGTAATGATTTATCTTTTAACTTGCAAAGCTGCGTTGCAGAAAATGAAGAAGGACCAACAACAAATGTAAATAATTATTTTCTGTTAATACTGTAATTAATGCCTTAATATTTTATTGGCAGTATTCTTAAAGACAGGATTTCCTTACTGTCACTGAGAAACTTATTTTGGGATTAGTTTCTACTCCTTTAGGTCAAAATGAGATCCTAAGTATCTTTGATGCTAGTATTTTTTTTTTGTTTTGTTGTAGAAAATGCAATTTTTCTTTTACCGTGTTTTACACCTTGTCAGCAATATCTAGAGTGACAACCATGTGTAACCTTATAAAAATGTTGCTCATCTTCCTTTCATACACATCTTTGCAGTAATAGAGATGCCAACAATGATTCTTTTTTTGAATGTCTAGGTAGAACCTTTCTTTGTCACATTATCACTATTTGACATTAAAAACAACCGGAAGATTTCAGCAGATTTCCATGTTGATTTGAACCACGCCTCAGTAAGACACATGCTGTCTGGTGCTTCTCAACCAATGATGAATGGCAGTGGTGACAGCTTACACAAGGTTCAAGACATTCATGAAAATGTGTTACAATACCCAAAACAGGTAAAGGACCTGGGAGTGTTGAAGGCCAATAGCATCCTGGCTTGTGTCAGAGATAGTGTGACCAGCAGGAGTTAGGGAAGTGATTATCCCTCTGTACTTGGCGCTAGGGAGGCCACACATCCAGTACCGTGTTCAGCTTTGGGCCCTTCACTATAAGAAGGACATTGAGGTGCTGGAGCGTGCCCAAAGCAAGGGAACAAAGCTGGTGAAGGGTCTAGGAGCAAGTCTTAGGAGGAGAGGCTAAGAGAACTGGGGCTGTCTTGCCTGAAGGAAGGGGCGCTGAGGGGAGTCCTTATCACTCTACAACTGCCTGAAAGGAGGTTGTAGCCAGGTGGGGCTCGGTTTATTCTCCCTAGTGACAAGAAACAGGACAAGAGGAAATGGGCTCAAGTTGTGCCAGGGGAGGTTTAGATTGGTTATTAGGATAAAATTCTTCACTGAGAGGGTGATTAAACTCTGGAATAGGCTTCCCAGGGAGGTGGTTGAACTGCCGCCCCTGAATGTGTTTAAGAGACATGTAGATGTGATGCTTAGGAACATGATTTAAGCACTGGTCTTGGTAGAGTTAGATTAATGGTTGGTAGAGTTAAGTTTTGGGTTGACTTGATGATCTTAAAGGTCTTTTCCAACCAGAATTCTTTGATGGTTCTGTGAAGTATTAGTAGGATTTTGGATAAATATAGATTTTTCTAACATGCTTAGGATGGCTTTCTGTTATGTGATGTAAAATGTGTGTGCATTTGCCTTTTATATTCATCTTGTTTTATTTCTAGGGAATATTCTCAGTTACGTGTCCTCATACTGACATTTTCCTCGTGGCTAGAATAGAAAAAGTATTACAGGGAAGTATTGCGCATTGTGCTGAACCATATATGAAAAGTTCAGATTCTTCAAAGGTATGTTATCTTCTTCTGTGCCATGGAAAAATACTGAGGTAAAACAGGTTGATTTGAAAGTAAGAAATATCAGTCAGAAACTTAGTTCTTTTACAGGAAATTCCAATAACTGGATGATTTCACTTAGTAAGTTGTAGTTACTACTAGTAATATTATTAATTGAGATGTTTTAGATAGTCTTAACATGTTACTGGGAAGCATTTACTTAGCAATTTATAATTGTGACATAATCTATAATAAGCTTGTGTTTTTATGTAGAAAATGCTTTGCAGATTTATTTTTTTTCAGCACTCTAAATTACTTTTTGGAAATAAACCATTGAAATATGTTAAGTTTGTAGGAGTCCAGGATGACAAAACATTTTAATGTTTTTGGAAACATATTTACAAGAAACTTTGCCAGTTGCTGTGTCTTGGCTGTCACTGAAAAAATAGGGTTTTCATTTTGTTGATTTACAGAGGTACTGGGATACTAGGAGCTTTTTGCAGGCAATGTCAGTTAACTGTTGACATTCTTTCTGTTTTCAGAGAGTGAATAGGAAGAAGGAGGGGTTAACTTTCAGACTCTGCAGAGAAGCAGTGTTCTTTCCTACTGATTTAATGCTGGCTAAGCTACATATTAAAAAACCTGTATTTTTCACTTGGTCTTAATATAGATCAGACTACTGATTTGCTTTTCCAGGAATACTTGAGACTTTTTTTTTCAGCTATGATTGGAAAACAGCAGCTTTGTATTTTAGGAGTCTTATTTTGAAGTTTATACTGTCTGGTACCGAGTTAAAACAAACCTGCACAGAGTAACTGATTTCAGTGGTCTTGGGCATGAACCACATGGGAAGGTTAAGTAAGCCCCAGTGTTCTTCAGTCTCATGCTCAGTGCAAGACTTGTGTTGCCCTGAACTGCAGGAGTAGTCAATAGGAATATTTATGGTTATAATAACTTATCCTGTCTATTTCTGTTATTCGTTTCCTTATAATTTTATACAATTGAACACTTAATTTGAATATTTTCTTTTCTTCTTCTCTGGGATTAGACTGTATTCATGTGAAATCAGAACACAATCAGCTATACAGTCCTTTGTGTGAGTCAGTGCAATGAGCAAGTTCCAGTTCCTTGTAAAGTTACTTCTCTGGACAACAAAAAGGAAAATGGGAGCAGCAAATTCTATAGCCAAGATATCACTTGTTCTCCTCTGAAACATTTATTATAGTTAATTAATGATGGTTGCTTATCAAGTTTCTGTGCTTCTGAGTGCCATTTCCCTCTTTACAGGAAAGGATAATGGAGAGTTGGCTCAAGCAGCACACTAGTAGGGACAGCTCTTCATAATGTCAACAGCATAGATCAGGGATAATATTCAGGCACGTTTACTTTGTGTTTTTCCGGCTGTGGCAAATAATTTTGCTCTGTGTAGGCACATAAGAGAAGCTGGTTTCTGGAAAAGAGAAGTCCACTGTTCTGTCAGGAACTTCAGCTTTATTTCAGGGTGATGGTGGAGGCACCATCCCTCGAGGTGTTAAAAAAAGGGGGTAGTCATGGTGTTTCAGGAGATAGTTTAGTGGTTAGGGATTGTAGGGTGGATGGTTTGACTTGATGCTCTTGAAGGTCTTTTCTAGCCTTTATTCTATTATTCTAAGTAGTTCAGCTCAGTGTTGAACATCTCAAACTAGTGGGTTTCTAGATCTGATTGTTATACATGCTGGTTCAATTTACTGGAATTGTTTGTACACTTAAAAGTTAACAGAACCAAAAATTTAAAGTTTTAATTAAAACAGTGTTGCAAAGTCCACATATGATCATTATACAACTCTGTGTGTACTTGTAATGCAAGTATTGCAGAGTATTTTACTATTTACTGTGCAGTGATGTGGTCTGGTACATAGAGTAGGTGAATAGGGGAGCAAGTGGGAGAAAAATGTTTTTACCTGGAGTCACAATTTTGTCTTAAAAAACAAGCTGAATTTTTGCTGTAGCTTTGATATGTGTTTTGTCTATAATATGTTTTTTTCTGAATTAAATATGTATTGTTGGGGGTGTAGATGGGTTTGTGTTTTCACTCATGAAATGCTGTGAGATCAGCAGGCCCTGCTTAACCCGAAATGAATTTTTAAGAGGTAACTTTAATTTGTCTTTAGCTCATATACTTAGGATTAATCTTCTTTAGAAGATCTTCCAAGTCATATCAGTGTTAATATGGGTTTTTTTCTTGTGCATTGTCAGTGCAAAAACATGTAGCTTTTAAAATGTGACTATTCCTCATGTCCCTTGCAGATTGCACAGAAAGTTCTGAAGAATGCAAAGCAGGCATGCCAGAGGTTAGGTCAATATAGAATGCCTTTTGCCTGGGCAGCTAGGTAAGGACAGATCTGGTCAATCTGTACTTTTTCCTAACTTTTCTTTAACATTATTTTCTGCGTCTCAATTCTTGTAAAACTTAATGTGCTGTTTAAAATACTTCTTGTTTTACTTTCAATTAACCAAAGGTTTCTGACAACAAGGTTACATTTCAGCTCTACAGTAAGAAAAAAGTTAGAAACTTTCATTATATTGTTATTCAAACCATTTAATAATGCCAAAACTTCTCTATTGTAAGTATTTTTTATTTTACTCAGAGTGAAATGGTTCACACTTGTTATGTTAGGATGAGCTATTTATATGTTAAAACTTACCTACAGTGACAAAAGTAGAAAATGCTTAATACGAAGCATGGTGCAGTCTGCTCTAATTTGTAGTAAAGGAATTTCCTGAAGTGAATTCAAACACTTCCATAAACTCAGCTGAAAGCAAGTTTTCACTTTCAGGACACTGTTTAAAGATGCCTCAGGAACCCTGGACAAAAATGCAAGATTTTCTCCTCTCTTCAGACAAGACAGTAATAAACTTTCAAATGAAGACATGCTGAAATTGTTAGCAGATTTCAGGAAGTAAGTCTCATTTCCCCACTTGAAAAAACAAACCAACCAACCACACCCTATCCCTCCCCTCTCCACACCCAGGTCCTGTGATTTTTTTGTTAAGGTTTTGAACTGCAGCATCTAGTCTTTTGATATATGTATTTGTTTTTCACTTCAAATGTCAAAGTTGTATAAATACAATCAAGGCCTTCAGACAAGCTACAGATCTTTCCGTTGCAGGAGAGTTATGCCATGTCTAACCTGCAGTAACCATCATATACTGAAGTAGCTCTGTGTTAGGAGTTAGGCTTGCCCAATACACTCTTCTGGGTCTCAGTGGAAAATTAGTATGAGCATAAATCACATGTTCACTGACCTTGGACAGAGAATGCTAGCTCTCAGGGAAAGATATTCAAACTAGTATCCAGTTCACCTTTCTTGAGAGTGCACCTGAGGCTCAGAATGCCTAAATACCAGAATACTGGTCATCCTTTTTTAACAAAGTTTTAAAGACTGTGTCAGTTTGTGTGTAAAGCTTAAGAATCTCCTACTCTCATATGACCTTACTAATAAACTAGTTTTAATCCCCTATATTGTTAAATAGGATATAAAATAATAGAGCCATCTTTGCTGCATTGCAAAGGCATTTCCACTTCTGTTATGGTTCAGTTAGCTGGAGTTGTATTAATTTGCTAATTGCAAAAGGCTTGGGCTATAATTATTCTTGCTCATCAGATCTGATAAGGAGATGAGGCACGTTATAGATACCTTAATTTGGTTTTAGCAAGCTGCTAATAGGATGAAAAAAATTAGTAGATTTGTTTTGTTAACTTACTGGTTTCTCTCCCGTTTTGCTCTTCCCCCTCTCCAGATTTAGTCTGTTACCTTAAATGCTTATCACTGGCCACTGAGATTTAAAACACACACTTATAGGTCCCCTCTTTACTGCAGAGGATAGTGAGTGTTGCATGGCAAACAAAACCTATCTTTAACAAAGTTTTAAATGTTGATTTAAAGAAAACCAAGTATTTTCCTAACCTTTTCAATACTTTTGATTGGCACCTTTTTTTTTTTCCTTTTTTTTTTTCTTTTTGAGAATTTTAAGAAGAAAATAATGAATCTAGATAAAAAGACCAAATCAGCCATCCATCCCCAAACCACATTTCATCTTGTACTCCTATTTCAGGATATTACTTATGCCTCTGTTTCCTGTTATCTCTGTCAACTGATAGTTTTGTGTTGAGCCTGACTTTGAGGTGTTGGTTTTTTCCTTCCTATAGACCTGAAAAGATGGCCAAACTTCCTGTTATTTTAGGAAATCTGGATGTTACAATTGATAATGTGTCACCAGATTTTCCAAGTAAGTGTTACTAAATGCCATTAAATGGACATTCAGGATCTTTCTCTTCAGTTTTTTATTGGTTTTTGATGTATTTTCAGATTATGTTAACTCATCCTACATTCCCATGAAACAGTTTGAAAACAGTACCAAGACACTAATAACGTTTGAAATAGAGGAATTTGTTCCTTGTATACCAAAACACACTCAGCCTTTCACCATCTACAACAATCATCTTTATGTTTATCCCAAGTACTTGAAATATGACAGTCAGAAGTCTTTTGCAAAGGTGAGTACAGGAAAACTGTACATTCTTTCTCTGGATTGGTTAAGATTGTTTACATATTATACTTCTGTGAAGATCCTTACAATTGTTTGGGTTCTTGTTTTTAAACGCTGCTTTAGGCTAGAAATATTGCAGTATGCATTGAGTTCAAGGATTCAGATGAAGAGGATTCTTTGCCTTTGAAGGTTAGTCTTTTTTATGATTTATAATATAGTGAATGGTTAGCTAAGTAACACAGTAATACTTGATTCATTTATCTATTCTAGGATGGCAGCTTTCTGTCCTTTTGCATTTGGCAGAACAGTAACTTCATAACTTCTAGATGACCTGCTTGTTTTTTGATGTAAAAGATTACTAAAGAACACACTCAGAGCATATTTAATTTATTTATATTAACAAAAAATCCAATAATAAACTTGTTGCTAGCAAAAATGGTGGCTTCTGCATACTCATAGGAGTGCTTCTTTAAAACAGTAAAATTTTAAATCAACTGCAGAGCCAAGCTCTATGTTATTTGTGAACTATCACAGAGTATAAGAGATGCCTGGAAAAAAAGAAGCAGAAAAATATATTGGAATCCTGAGGTCGGATCCCATTGTCAGTTCTAGTGCACAGCAGGCAGACTATATGTCATCCTCTGTCTGTGCAAAGGAACCAAGTTAAATGCAAGTGAAAATTCTCAAATTCTAAGTGAAACATATTCTAAGCTGAGAGTGAAAAATAATCACAGGGTTATGCTCATTCTTTTTTTCCTTTTTCCCATTATTAGTGTATTTATGGTAGGCCAGGTGGACCAGTATTTACTAGGAGTGCATTTGCTGCTGTTCTGCATCACCATCAAAACCCAGAGTTTTATGATGAGGTAAGCTTTCTGAGTAACTCTTACTGGCTTAGGTATTATTTAAGTTTCAAAAATACAAGAAAACATTTCAGGCTTGCGAAGTTCTTGATTATTATTTCAGTTAAATCAAACCCCCTGTTTGACTGCAAGTACATTTTTTCTAAGTTGGGATGGGGGGGGTTATCGATCTTGATTCAAATAACATATAACCTGAAATTGCTTTTAAGTCAGTGTGAAACCAGTAAGGCACATCATTACTCTACGTGAAGACTTATACAAATGTTGTGATTCTTTGCCTTTCAGATTAAAATAGAATTGCCCACTCAGTTACATGAAAAACACCATTTGTTGTTCACCTTCTACCATGTTAGCTGTGATAATTCAAGCAAAGGGAGTACAAAGAAGAAAGATGTTGTTGAAACACAAGGTTTGTACATTCATGTTTTCCTTGCAGTAATTATTGGAGAGATGTTATGAAGGATGCTTAACTGGTAACCTGTGATTTTGTTGACTTGATCCATACACTGTTTTCTAATAACTTTATATTGACTGAAAGATGTCCTTTAGTATTTATTTTAATTTAAATTTTTCAAGTGTTGTATTAGAATTTCTATCAAATGTATGGTTTTTTTGAAACTCGATAACAATTTATTTGCCTTTAAAATTATTTCTGTTTTAGTTAAAATCATTTGGCTCTTACAGTAATACTTTCTTATGAATTACATATCAGAAGTATACAATAAAACTTTTATAAAGGTTTATGTAAAGACTCATAATTTAAATTACTTATCTTTCATCTTCCATAGTTGGATATTCTTGGCTTCCTCTAATAAAAGATGGAAGAGTGGTGACCAATGAGCAATACATCCCAGTGTCAGCAAATCTTCCCTCAGGCTATCTTAGTTACCAAGAAGTGGGAGTTGGAAAGGTATGTTATGTCAAATTTTTCTAACATAAAAAAAAAACAGTAGAGAGAAGGTTTGGATGTAATTCCCCAGTCTGATAAGCTTTAAGTAATTTTCTAGTAGAATTTCTTTTCTTTTATAGTTGAAAAGGAGTGATTTGCAAAAGGTAGACATCTGACTTAGAGGAAACAAACAAACCCAAACAGAAATGGGAGACAAAGCTTACAAATAAATTCTGACTTTTACAAGAGTTTGAATTAACCTGCCCTAACATAGTTTATTAATTTAAATTGTTAAGTAGTTCTGTTATTATTTAGCTGATGTGCTTAGGAAATGTTTGTTTCATATTTGTAGTAATAATTAACTACAAGTTACAGTAATTTTAAAGTATGTTAAACTGAGATTATGAAGATATGTAAATAATCTGAAGTCCTCTACTAAATTTTTTTTAGCATTTCATGCTGTCTCCTTTCAGTAAGTCCTTTATTCCTGAAAAAGTCTTATTCTCACATCTTGATTTTTGTGATCTTTATCCTTCACTAGTAAAATTTATGGTTGTATTTTCCAAAGCAGAAAGCTTGCAAAATTGTAGTAATAAAAATTATACTGAAGAGGACACAAAATGTAAAATGTGATAGAGGATTTGACTAAGAGAATGAAATGCAGAGACAAAATTGACTCATTTTGGAGGAAGAGGCCTAAAACCAACAGCAAGATATGTTGCTCTCCTCCTGTTCTACCACCTTTCCTTTTCTAAACTCTACTGTAAGCTTTCCAGCCATTGTCTCCCTCACATATTTCATCTTTTCACATTGTAGGTGTACTCTATGCCTCTGCTGTTTGTCTCTGCTCATGCCCATGGGGTAGAAGATTAGGACCAATATGAGTAGTTGTAGCTCTAGCAGTAAAATCTCCCCCTTAACTGATTGTCGGAGTAGACAGCTGAGCATTCCCATTCTCAGTTCTTTGGAAATGGGATGGGAAGGAAGCACTGGCTGCTACCTGTCAGTGACCTTTGTTAAGGTTTAAAGGGGGTCAGTATCTGTGGAAATTCTGGTGTTATTTTTCTCAGAAAAACTGGAAAACGTTTTTCTCTAAACAAAAGTTTATTTGAGGAGTTGTAGGGGAAACATTAAATCTGTGACTTACAGAAAAGCAATTTTGTTAGCCAGTGAGGAAACTATTGTGGGACTTTAAAAACATATTTTAAGCTTCCTAAATGCTTTTGGTAATATTGCCTGCATAATTTTCATTATTGTATGACTTTATTCATTGCACACATTTCTTCAACCTGTTTTTTTTTTAAAAAAGGTGATGTTTGTGGTACTATAAGCAAATTGTTTTACTCTGGTATACGGCTACATTATTTTTCTTTGCTTGTGTGTGCAGCATTCTGGTCCTGAAATTAAATGGGTAGATGGAGGCAAACAACTGTTAAAAGTATCCACTCATCTGGTGTCAACGGTGTATACACAGGTGAGTTATAAAACAAATTAAATTAGAGAAAGTTTTAGGAATAATGTATACTTGTAGTATGTAAATACAGGAATTGGGAAGATTCTTCAAGTCATTATGCTGTTCTCTTACTGTTTGTCTCTTGAGCACTGTGTGGTATCTCCCATATCAGCTGTGACAAACAGCAGATCTTCAATGGAAGCTGAATCTTTAATCTAACATTGTCATCCATTCCAGTCTGAATTTTCACGTTAGATAAGAGGTTGGAGTTGTCTGGTAGTTATTCTCTGTGGTGGGCCTGGTCTGGCAGGGGGGTTGGACTTGATCTCCACAGGTCTCTTCCAACCCCTACCATTCTGTGATTCGGTGTATCTACAAAGCAGTGAGTCCTGTTACAGCTGCTCATAAAATACATACTATGATTGGTTGGGATAACTAGCATGAAGTATGCTATTTTCTGCATGTCAGTTGGTTTCAAGCAAATATAGGTGGTGTTTTGTGTAAAAGTTTTCAAAAATCACTGGAAATTTCTTGTGTGGGTTAAAAAAATCATGTGGAATAAATCAGTCTTCAGAATAGCGCACTTTGGTTACTTTTACAAATTGAGTCTGTGGATGTGTATCTGGATTTCTATACATAAATATTTTTAAAGTGTTCTGTGTTGCATTGTGGATAGTAATGTTAGATATTGTTTAATTTGGTTTTCTTTGTTGTTAATTCTTTGTTTTTGTTAATTTGTTGTTTTTTTCTTTGACAGGACCAGCACTTGCATAATTTTTTTCAGTACTGTCAGAAAACAGAGTCTGGAGCTCGGGCACTAGGAACCGATCTTGTAAAATATCTTAAGGTATAAAATGGCAGCAAATAGCAGATTATAGTATTTATTTATAGACCTGTTGAATTAATCAAGATTCATAATACTTCGAGACACCCTTGTTTCTTACATTTACCAGAGTTCCACTTGAATCTGATATAATAAAAATCTCTCACAGAGACCAGTATGCCAGTTTCAGATTTATCTTGCTGGCTGCTGTCTGTCAAAACTGACTGTTGGCTGGAATCAAAGGCCTGATACTGTTTTTGGTTTAAGCCCATCTGGCAGATAAGTCCCACACAGCTTCTTGCTCATTTTCCCCCCAATGGGATGGAGGAGGGAATCGGAAGGGTTAAAAGTGAGAAAACCCATGGGTTGAGATAAAGACAGTTTAACAGGTAAAGCTGCATATGCAAGTGAAGCAAAACAAAGAATTAATTAATTCGTTCCCATCAGCATGTAGGTGTTTGGCCACCTCCAGGAAAGCCAGGCTCCATCACATGTAATGGTGACTTGGGAAGACAAGCACCATCACTCTGAATGTCCCATCCTCTCTTCTCCTTTCCCCAGGTTTATACGCTGGGCATAACCCCACATGGTCTGGAATATCCCTTTGGCCAGTTGGGGTCAGCTGTCCCTACTGTGTCCCCTCCCATCTTATTGTGCACCCCCAGCCGGCTCACTGGTCAGGTGTTGTGAGAGGCCTTGATGCTGTGCAAGCACTTCTCAGCAGTAACCAAAACATCTCTGCATTATCAACACTGTTTTCAGCACAAATCCAAACCATAGGCCCATACTAGCTACTAGGAAGAAAATAAGCTCTATCCCAGCCAAAACCAGCATGGATTTTCACAACTGTTGTTAGTGTGGTAGAACAAAGTGACCATCAGATATTAAAGTATTATTATAGGGGAAGCTCAAAAGAATACTTTCTCAGATCACTCCCTAATCACATCATTTACTTGAGTTGCATATGATCACATATGCTGTGATATATTTGGGTAGCTTATTCCTTTGATTAAACACTCTATTTATGTTGATATTAATTTCACATTAGCAAAATCATTAGGTTCAGGGGCAAGACTTTCCAAAATCTCTGGAATAGAGCAGTGCAACCACTGAGCCTCTTTTGTAACTTTTGCTTGTCCTCAAGCATCAGAACACTCACCACATGATACGAATGCATTCCACACCACTACACTAACACATCATACTGCCTTTATTGTCTGGCTTTTTGGTAACCGAAAACAAACATTATCTTATGTGTCTGATCTCCATTCCATTGGGCCAAATTCCTGTCTAGCAGGCCTCCCAGGGACCCAGATACTTTTAATTTATCTTGTGTTTTGCAAACTTGCCTTCAGTGTCAGCCTGTACTTACCTGTGCCAGATGTGGCCAGCCTGAGTGCTAAATGTTCTTTAAAGATAAATGTTTCAGTTTGCTGGTGCCAGTTTCCTACATGTCATGTCTATGCTATAATGACAATTAAACATTTAAATACTTAGGATTTACTTTTCTCCATGAAATCAGTGTGTAGAGCATCTTGGGTTACCTTACCAAGCCCAACAAATGTTCTCCCATTCTCTCTTCTTTCTGCTCTTTCCTTCCCTAGCAGGATTTTGTGTAAGCACCATCTTACATTTCTAATGAAGGGTTTTCTGAGGCTCACCTGACTCAAGATGCTTTTATGCTTTCTTTCATGTTTCGTGTTTCATCGTTTGGCACCTCATAAGTTGAGGTATCTGCCTGTAGTTACCTCCATTGTGGCCTGAGAGACCAGAAGGCACAGCTACTTCTGACAGTCTCATTGTAATTGAATAATCAAAGGCATCAGAAGTTGCGTTATGAGTCCATGTCAGAGTCCTACTTAAAACAGTACCTTTACCAAAAGATCTGTGTCCTGGACAACAGTGTCAGCTGAAGTTCCATTTGCATGTTTACTCAATGTTCTGAACTTCAAGGCTTATTGAAAAGGTGCTGTAGAAATCGAAAATCACTGTTAGCATCCTGAATAGTGTGAATGTGCATACAGGCAAACATTCAAAGACAAGACAGCTACTTAACACTGAGTGGAAATGTTTGAAATGTGCTGTCTGTATGCATGCTCAGCAAATATAGTCTTTTATTTTTTGTCTAACTCCCTTTAACTCCAGGAAATTTTGTGGCATAAAATAATGTAGGATGAAATTCCATGCACTGCATTTTATGTCAGGGTGGTTATGTCTGTAATATCTTTTGCATGAGATGGAACACAAAAGCATATCATGAGTGGTTAGTAATTCAGTCTCCAATGTCCAACATTACATATTCAGGGACTTTAGTTCGTTCTGTTTTTCATGCTAGTTTATTGTTTGGCATAACTAGTATAACTAGTGTTTCGCTTACCACAGGTAAGCAATCTATGTTTTTGTGGAACTTCTGTTTGGTAAACATCTGCATTGGTGGATGAAATGGCAAAGTAAGCCAGGTTGTAATTATCAGCTTGCTGGGGTGTACGTGTTTTTTCATCAAAACATTGCCTAGTGTGCATTTCAGTGGAAAAAGTACAAATAACTACTTCTAAAATATTTTTAATAAAACCTATTTTGTAGCTGTAATTTACCTTAACGTAGAAAATATTACCAAATATTTATGTTGGAAACTATTCTCCATTTCGTTCTGTGCAGTTGTATTTCAGATCATTAACACCAAATTGGGCAAGCAGTGTGTAGACTTGCAGTAAACTTTATGGTTTCAGAACCTGTGCTTTAAATGCTGTTGTTTCAAGGGAGTGACAGTATTACTGCTTTCTTCTAGAGCCTTCATGCTATGGAGGGCCATGTGATGATAGCTTTCCTGCCTACTGTACTAAACCAGTTGTTTAGAGTTCTCACTAGAGCAACTCAAGAGGAAGTTGCAGTCAATGTGACAAGGTAAAGAATTTGAAGTGATGACTGTGTTATCACATAAATCTGTAACTGAGTAGCATTTTTGGTATTGCAATCATAGCTTTCTTTGTAGGCTTACTTGGTTTCCAACTTCTGTTTAGGGTTATTATCCATATTGTTGCTCAGTGTCATGAAGAAGGCTTGGATAGCTACCTCAGGTCTTATGTCAAGGTAGGTAAAAGTAAATAAAATGTTTCTTTTTTCTTTATTTCTCTAAAAAGAGTATATTTAAATTTAGTTGCATCTGTTTAATTTCAGTTGTTTCCTACTATGTCACAGTTTCATATTATGTTCTGGTTTTCCTCCCCAAGTATGCTTATAAAGCTGAACCCTACGTTGCTTCTGAATATAAGACGGTACATGAAGAACTGACGAAGTCCATGACAACAATTTTAAAGCCATCTGCTGACTTTCTTACAAGCAACAAGCTACTTAAGGTATATACAGAACTATACTTTTTACACTATCTTCTTATCTGGTCATTACTGAAGAGTAGGAACTAATTGTATTGAAATAGTTGTTGAATGATGTGGCAATTTTACAGAACATTTTCTTTTCTCTGCAGTATTCATGGTTTTTCTTTGAAGTTCTGATAAAATCAATGGCTCAGCATTTGATAGAAAACTCTAAAGTGAAGGTAAGTAAAATTTTGCAAAAAAAATTTTCTTAAGTGAATTTATATGGCATCTTCTTTCTCCAATCGTATTTTTATTGTGTATTAGAAGAAAAGGTTTTTTGCAACTAAAATAATTACATTAAAAAATAACCTTGTGCATAAAAAGATGGAAAGAGCAAAGTGGCGGGAGAAATCAGTTGAAATATTAGGTATAGAAAACTTGAGAGCTAGATTCAACATTATTATAAAGGGATAGAAAAAGTCCATAAAGTAGAGCAGTCTCTGTAAATCATTAGACTCTTTAGTAAGATTTTTTTTTTTTAATATGTATGCTACAGTGAAGCTGAAAGCAGCAAGTAACACTGCACTTTGATGAAAGTACTATCCAAAGTTGTGTGCATTTTCCTGAGCAGTGCAGTACCTATGGTATAAAGACTTTTGAAGACAGCAAATCATGCAGTTTACAGTCCTTCTGTATGCAATGAGAAGAATCAATATTGAATTCTGTGTCATTTCCTATGCTTGAAGGGGAATGCTAGTATTTTAGAACCAGGCATTTTTCTACCAGCTTGGCTTATAATAAGCCATATTTTATTTAAATTAGTGACAGCACTTTATTCACTTCTGTGTTAAAACACATGTTTAAAATAAAGTTTGAAATATACAAATAGTCCCAGCTGAGTAACATACCAGGTTGTTCTGAAATCTTTTTCAGTATTTTCATTGTGTATTTAGAACATAACTGAAAATCTGAATTATATGGGAGAAAAAATAATTGATTGGACAACAATCAGGAAAAAAGGTTTAGAGTGCTATACTTAATACTGTTCTGTTGTGGTATGATCAGTAGAGTTTGGAGTCCCAGTTCATTTATTTTTAAGTGTCTGGACTTAAGTGTCTGTTTCATAAAGATGAAAGCAAATTTCATCTCTTTTCATAAAAATTAAATACATTTCATCTTTAAAGATGTTTTTGATTAATTTTTAATTCAAGAAACATGTGAAATCCATGTGATAACTGGTCAAATGAATTTTTCATCATTAGATACTCTCTAAAGTAACAAGTTTGATGTCCAAATCCTAGTAACCATCACTTTTTCTTAGAATAATAATACAAATATTAAAACCAAAAGTTTTTCTGCTTATGTCACTGGTTTACTTCCAGTTTGAACATTAAAATGGTATTACCTGTTATCTAGTACTAAATAAAAAAGCTTCCTTAATGCAGTATTCAACTGGACTCATTTTAGGACTAAAGACTAATACATAATTCACAGAATATCGTAACAATGAACTGTGCATTGTACTGAAGCACATCATTCAGGCTTCAGCATTAGACCCTTTGTAGAAATAGAAGGATTGATTTACTTGTTTTCCAATCTGAATTAAATATGGAGAAAAATCTGTGACACGCATAACTATTTTCCCCACCGCTCTGGAATGCAGTAGGAGTTCAATCATTCTAGGGTCCAGAGAACAAGTCCTGTGAGGAGGGGCGGAGGCAGCTGGGGTTGTTGAGTTTGGAGAAGAGGAGGCTGAAGAGAGACCTCACTGCTCTTTAAACTACCTGAAAGTAGGTTGTAGTGAGGTGGGTGTTGGCCTGTTCGTCCAAGTGAATAACAGTAGGATGAGAGGAAATGGCCTGAAGTTTTGCCAGAGAAGGTTTAAATAGGATATTAGGAAGAATGTCTTTACCAAAAGAGTAGTCAGGCACTGGAACAGGCTGCCCAGGGAGGTGGTTGAGTCACCATCCCTGGATGTATTCAAGAAATATGTAGATGTAACACTTCAGGGCATGCTCTAGTGGGTACCCTGGGGGTTTTTGTGGGTTGTGTGTTGGCTTTGGTTTTGTGGTGCATGTGGTTGTGGTTTTGTATGGGTTTTTTTGTTTGGTTTTTTTCCCTCTTGCACAGTTGGACTTGATGATCTTAGAGGTTTTTTCATGAGGCTCCTCATTTAGTAGCAAAATTGGTTGAGTATTTTAAGCTTACCTTTTCTCTACCTTGGTCTGCCCAGCTATGTTTTATTCTAATTTTCAGCTGCTATGACTAGTAGATAAAACATGTCAAGAACGTCTGACTTCATCTGGTTATTTTGCATTTGAAGAGCACCTCTAGTTTTTGCTTTGTGTCATGACATGCTAGTTACTATGTTGGATTTTTATATAAGGAAAAGGTCTTTGTTTCATTGGAAGAGTGATCTTTCTATTACTAAAAAAAAAAAGGATGAAATAATTTTATCTTTTAAGTAAAATCCCAGCTTTTAATTGGAGCAGTGGTCTTGGAAATTCTAGAACCTTTACTGGAAGATTTTTATTTTTTTTTTTTTTAACAGGTTAGACAACTGTTGTCAGGTAAAATATTTTGTGCAAGGCCAACCTGATGCACTCTTGTAGAAGGACATAAACTTTTACCTGGTATTTGTAGTCTGCTTAATCTAGATGTAGGTCTTCAGTTTGGAGGGAAGCGGGAAGTTCAATATTGACATGGAATACTACAATTTTAAGTATCTTCTGAATTGTGGAAGAGGGCAAGATTTTATCATTAACTTGCTAATCATTCTGGGGAGCTGAGTTTTTCAAGGCAGCTATGTGCACAAGGGATTTGCTGTGCACCTAGTGCAGTGCATCCTTTGGCATTTAAGGTGTCTAACTTCTTGCTTGTGTAAACTCATCAGTTTTTACAGAATTCCTCAAAATTTCTAGGAAAAAAAAGAAAAGACTAATAACTTTATCTACCACTAATAAATACCATTAATTCAAACCAAAGTAAGACAAATATTCAGGTGGACTTCACTTTTTTCTGTTTCATAAAATCTGTTCAAATAATTTAGGATCTGTAAACTTAAACTTCCATTATTAATTTGATGTTCCTTGAGGGAGTTTGTGCCTCTGTTCTCTCTGTGAATAAAGTATTTCTTATTTTACTGCATTCTGTATTTTGAGACTATTTTAATCTCTTAAATTAATTATATTAATTTAATTTATCAGCACAACTGAAATGAAAGTATAGTCTAAAGCAGAAAACACTGATTCTTTTTTAAAATGGAAATTTTCTAGAGGATTCTGGAACTGAATTATAATTTTGTCATTTAAAAATTATATTGAAAAAAACTGAAAGAATTTATGTGAAATTTTTGTTTCAGTACTTACTGACAGTACTGGCAATATTTTTACTTTACAGTATTCAACTGTGAAAAGATACAGTTTTTCTGATGACAGAATGTGGTGTGTCTGGGAAAGGTTTTTCAAAAAGTGTGGAGTGGATGTGTGAAACTTGTATAGCTTGAGGATGTTCTCGATTTGTTTTATTATGTGTTATCTCTGAAGAACACCACCATGCTGGTTTTTTTTTTTTCTTGGCTGAAGAAATTTATATAATTATTCCTGATTTTAAGAAACCTACAGAACTCCTCACAAGCTTGGAAACACCATATTGGTTTAAAAAAAAACCAACAAACTTCAAAGAAACCACTAACTTGCTGCCATAAAAACCCATTTCCTTAATTGAATTGTAACTTTCTTACAATAGGAATTAAATTTTCTAATTGAGATCAGGTGGTGGATAAAGTAAGTACAGGAGAATACAATCTTTTTAAAAGTATGAATCTATGTAAATAAGCAAAAAACAAATGCAGTTTTCTTTTCAGAATGACTCAGCCAGTGTCCAGGTTTTTAGTATCCTCTCCCATATAATCTACATCTGTTTTTATAGTAGGATATTCCACCACTGTGAGTTCTTGATTTATTTAAATGTTTATGTTTTATGATTATTTCTTTCATCTGCAAGTGCTATACTGACTCATTTGCTTAAAGCTAATGTGTCTTTACTGACCCAGTAATAATTGTAATAAATTATATTTGAATAGCCCCAGCATGCACATCTGAGGAATAAATTAAATTAACAAGACTTTCATTTTAGGGAAAACGAAGTTAAAGGAACAGTGTGTCAGTTACAGATGCCTGAAACTGATTTGATTAGCTGGTGCTATGGAAATACAGTGTGAATTGAGGAAGGCATAACCATTACTATCATTCAGAGAGGCCACCATCTCTTTGATGTCTTGATGACCTAAGTAACTTAAGAGAAGGCACTGATAATTTTCTTTTTCTAGTAGTAAGAACCAGTAGCTGAGACCTAATGGCCTCAGGTTTGCTGTACTTGAAAGACTGAGCAGTCCGTTTTGTGACTTACTATATGCTACAAATGTCATGCTGTACAAACTGTCTTCTGAGACCAGTTTCTAAGTCTTGGTGTAAGTAAGCTTAGGATTTTCATTAAAATGCATCAAAAGATGGAGGCAGGAGACAGATCAGTGTGTGATTATGTTTCTAAAGATGGTCTAGGTGTTATGACCTTTATTTAAGTGATATTTTTACATCAACTTGTTGCATCCAATTTTGTTTAATACCTGGGTATCATACAGGTATATATATATTACATATGATAATGTAAATTCTGAAAAAATATCTTGTTCTTCTTCAGTAACCTTTCTACCCTACAAATTTCTTTAAGTAAGCTAATTTTTTTCATAATTTGATTTTAATGAGTGCTTGCTCTGACTCTTAACATCATGTTTGTAAACCTGCCTTTTGTAGAAGGTGGACTGAGAAAATTCTAAGCATGGAAAGAGCATGACTTTTCAAAGAAAATACTAATTGCTAGTTGCATTTATTTACAAATTCAAGTTGTCAGCATTAAGTATATAAACCACAAAATTGTGATATAAATACTGATGACATTTTTAATTCTATAACAGACCCCATTTTTTTCAGAAAATAAGGAGGAACAGTGACATACTTGTTTAATAGATTTAGCAGGTTCTGTGGCCATAAATCTTTCTAGGATAACACTTAATGCAGAGATGTTCCTAAGCAGCACTGAAACTACTAAAATGTTGCCATGTTTTTTTGTTAGAACTTACAGGTATTGAAGCATGCAGTAATCCTACCTGAAGAGGCAGAAAGCCCCAAACAAACAAAAAAACCCCACTCCCAAAGCTCTGAGCTTGAGAATTAAAAACACTTGTCAGGTTGCTATTGATGTCCCACTCAATAGTGTTCTCCATGCTAGTCCTACTTGTTGTATAGGAACCCTATTCATGTCAGGACATTGTATGTATTAGTATCCTCAAAAGCACCCACAAGTGTGAACTGTTTTATTGTACAAAGGAAACAAAGTCTTTCGACATGGACTTCTGGATTCTTCTTTGCTGTCAGTCACCATGAACTGCTTTCTTACTCTTCCCCTGCAGTAACATGAGTTCATAGCTTATAAACTACCAGAGTGATTTTTTTATAACAGATTTCTGTTGTTGCCTCCACACTTCCTGCTAAAAAAAGGCATTTCCACTTTTAGAACTAACCTCATTGTGATCTTCCCTGTGACATGAAAGAGGAAGGAGCAGAACTCTCCTCTTTAGCATGTACCCTGATTACTAAACATCATCACTGATTTACAAGCCCCTTAAATGTAAAATGAACTATTTTGCTAGCTTTTTTCTGGCTTACTTTGTGAAGTGTTAAATAGAACACGCATTCAGGTATTTCCTACTTATGAGATGTGATAAAAAAAGGCATTTCTGGGTACAGCAAAATTATAGCAAGAATTTTGTAGTGACTTAAAAAACAATTGGTGTCCAACGAAGACTGGACAGGATAACTGGCATATCCACCACCATAATTTTTAGTTATTTCATTTATGAGTACTGTTGGTATTTATACAGGGATCATTTTCAACCTTAATTTCTATTTTTAAAAATATTATTTTAAAAATAGAAGTAGATACCTTAGGGCACAATTCCAATGCAAAGAGAGCAAATTGTTTAGTAATCAATTTATGCAGGGCTTTGACAATGACTTTCTCTGCCTAGGAGTGTTACATTCCATATAGTTCAAAAAACTTATTTGTATAACAAATATTCAGAGCACTTAGAGTTTTGAGTTCAATTTTCAGAAAGAACAGACCTAATGACTGTACAGTTAAGAGTTTTTTCAGCATCAGCTTCTTCAGCCTCATGCCACCCATCATTAAGTCCCTTCAGACAAAAGACAGAATCTTTATTAATGATTGTAAACTGTAGAGAAATAGAGGCTTCACAGTGGTAAAAAAACTAAATAAAAAGAGGAAATCTTTTGAATTAATTGGCAATCTACCTAAAAGCAAGAGGAAACAGTCGTTATTGTAGAGACTTAAAAACACTGAGAGTAAGATTTTGAAGCCTGGAAGAGCAGAGATTTTAAGTCGCTGATGACCTAGAGAAAGAAAGAGAAACATGGGTGAGAATTCTCACTGTGGTAAAAGTCAAAGGAGTTATTAAAAACAGTTGCAGAACAACAAAAACTGGCTTTTCTTCAAGACATCAAAGAAAGTCTGATACGTAGTTACTACATGTCAACCATCTGGTGTCTGCTTTGGAAAGGAAAATAGAGAAAATAAAAGGATCCCATTTATTCTTACCTTTTGTCATCAGGTTTATTGTAGTATAGAAAAATATTAATGCATTGTACTTACAAACTGTAATGCTTTTGCTTTTGTCATCAAAGACTACCTTGCTTGAATTTTAATAATAGATGCTAGTGCATGTTGTATTATTTCCTTTTTATCAACTGCTCTTTTTCCCGTTCTCAGTCTAAAAACTTCACGAAAGTCTTCAATTTAAATAAAACATTATTTGAAATGGTAAATCAGAAAATTTTAAAACTTTGTCTCCCCTCTTGCTGTCAGGTTATCTATATCTTATCTAAAGTAAGTTTTCTGATATATGTCCGTGTTGAAAACCAGATTAAATGTTATGTCTGAATTTGTTTCTAGTTGTTGCGAAACCAGAGATTTCCAGCTTCCTTTCATCATGCTGTGGAAACAGTTGTTAATATGCTAATGCCACACATCACTCAGAAGTACAGAGACAATCCAGAGGCTTCAAAAAATGCAAATCATAGCCTTGCTGCCTTCATAAAAGTAAGTACACAAGTGGCTTGAGCTCTGTGGTTACTTTTTGAAGTATACAGCTTCTTTGTGGATTTAAAAGAATGTTAAAGCCAATTCATATAAAACTGAATATGCATAACACTTTATAATTTCATGTCCTAGTTAAAATGTATTGAATTATAATTTGCATCTTCTGTAGTCAAGAAGGTACTTGTTCAAATATTTGATTTTTGGAGGGAGATTTTAAATTAATTTATTGAAAATATATTTTTATTTTGTTCCCCCCCCATCCTCAAATGTCACCTAGGTTATGTTATGTTAAGTAGCATCTACAAAAGCTTCATATGTTGAGCAGGGATTTATTTGCATTTATTTTATGCAGACAAGCTTTCAGTGTCTTTCCTTTAACAGCCAGTAAGATCCAGTAGGGAGAAAAAAGAATGGGAAATACATTTGTAGATCAGGTTGCTAGGGGCATGTTATATTTGGTTTTGTCATGATAGACTTCCTATCTTCAAACTGCTTTTTATTTGCAGTTAGTTTACATTTTGTTCTCTGAGGCAAAATTTGGCATTAATTTATGTGTATGTATATTGAATTAGCTTGGTTTATAATTTTTTATATTAAAACTGAAATATCAATAATGTGTTTATAAAATAAACTTGTTAAAGATAGAAATACAACTACTCAGCACTGAGACAGTAGTAAATCAATTCTGTCTTGGTTTTTCTTGCTTTCCCCAGAGGTGTTTTACTTTCATGGACAGAGGATTTGTTTTCAAGCAAATCAATAACTACATCAGCTGCTTTGCCCCAGGAGATCCAAAGGTACTCAGTGTTTTTAAACAAACTATTTTTACAAGTTGCTTGTTCTTGATTGATGTGGATTGAGTTCTGCATTAAGGTTTCAAACTTATTTTCAGGTATACTCAAGCATGTTACTTAGTCAGCACTGTCACTGTGATGTGCCTAGAGCATCTTTTCCCCATCAAATCACATTTTCATAGTTTGATTCCCATCTTCAGGTGCAGTTTTTACCACCCATGAGTGTGTATATTGCAGAAGTGTGTGGGGTGTATGGGGGTGCAATATTAAGCAGAAATTTTTAGTGTGAATGTGAGGAAGGCTAATGTTGGAAGAGTTGATGCCTGGTAAGCTTCTGTACATTTACTGTAGTGATGAAAGCATGTACCAGACGTCAAAATAATTTCTATTGAGTCCAAACTTTTCTTACATTAATACATGATATGCTAATAAACTTAAATAACTTTGGACAAAGGGAACAGTAAATAAAACTACATCCAATTATCAAGTGTGAATACTCCTAAAATTATTTTATACTGACATATGGAACTTCCAAAGGTCTATATCCCTCATACAGCAGGACTTGAGAGAAGTCACTCATTTGTGTTAGCAAACTGTTTTTAATGTGTTGCTCAAATCACTGCATCAGTTGTTTAACTTATACTTCAAAATTATTTTTTGCAGACTCTCTTTGAATTCAAATTTGAATTTCTCCGTGTAGTCTGTAATCATGAGCACTACATACCTTTGAATCTACCAATGCCATTTGGAAAAGGCAGAGTTCAGAGATACCAAGGTAAATAACTCCAAAGAATTATGTGGTATACTTCTTAGATGTTGCCTTTTATTATTAGACATGTAGACTGTGTAACTTCAGGTCTATGATGGGGTCAAACCTTTTAATAGAGCCTGTAGTGATAGGACAAGGGGTAGTGCTTTTACACTAGAAGACAGTATATTTAGACTAGGTATTAGGAAGAATTATTTTACAATGGGGGTGGAGAAACACTGGGCCAGGTTGCCCAGAGAGGTGGTAGAAGCCCCATCCCTGGAAACATTCAAGGTCAGGTGGGATGGGGCTCTGAGTAACCTGATGTAGTTGAAGATGTCCCTGCAGAGGGATTGGACTTGGATGACCTTTCAAGGTCCCTTCCAACCTAAACCATTCTATGATTCTGTATGTATGAAGCCTCTAAAATATTAGATGAAAGCCTAAAGTTGTAATCCCTTCATTTAAACTCAAGTAGTTTAAGTAGCAGAGTATTCTTTGAAACTATTTAGTCATTGAAAGATATGGTCTTGACTCCCTTTTCTGCTATGATTAAGTTTGGATTTTTTAAAATGAGTCAGCTTTTAACTCACTAGCTGCAGAAACCTAAGAATCTAGATTCTTCTGAAGTGCAGCCCTCAAACATATAGACTGTACCTCAGCTACAAACATGATGAGGGTGCACTCCATCTCCTCTTCTAAGTTGTTGTGTCATGGTTTGACTCAGGATCAACAACAATGCTCTTGATCACCTCCCACCCAGGTAGGGAAGGAAACTTTAATTAAACACTAATGACATCAGAAAATATATACCATTATATACAAATGTGTTCAGGTATGTGCAAAACCCTATAGCCCCCCCCCACCCCCAGCAACTCCCACAGCACTCTCCTGAGCTGGAACAGTCCCGAAGAATCCCGGAGCTGCCGCTAGAGAAAGTGGAGAGTGATGAGGGTCAGGAGAGCTCGAGTCTGGAGGTCTGTGGTGATGGATGGACGGAGTCCTCCCCAGACGCCAGCCATGGATGGAAGAAAAGGGAAGAAAAAAAAGGAAGGAAGTTGTCTTCTGTCATCTCTGACCTTCCTCTGAGCTTATTCCACGGAATGGAATATCTCCAGCCAGTTTTGCTGTCTGTCTAACTCAGCCTCCTATGAGGGGGTCACAGATCTCCCCATAGTGTCTGAGCCGGCAGAGTGAAAGTGCAACCTTGAAGTCCCAGCAATTAGAAAAACATTCCAACATTTGTTATCAGTTCACTAACTGAAACATTTACTGCTAGTTAAAAGAGAGCTTACTGAAAGAAAAATAACAAACAGTAAAAGGTAAAGTTGCTTCATCATGTCTCAAGGCAGGACACATTGATGGAGCAGTAGGAAGTAAGATAGACCCTGGGAAACTCCTCTTGTAGCTAGTCTTAAAATACAGTACAAATCGTTAATCACCAGCCTTGGAGTCAAGTGATCCACATACTTTGCATATGTAGTGTCTATTCACTTAGACTGTAATGTCCCAGTTTGGATACAATGATTCTGTGAGAGACCTTGTGGACATCTGCTATTCTCCCCTTACCCACAGACTTAGTGAGTTCACTATAGAAGACAGGTTATCAAAGAATGGTTTATACCCTGACTAAATCAATCCTGGCCATTGCCGCTCACACTCATCTCCTTTGCTTACCCAAACATAGCTTCCACGAGGACTTGCTCCATGACTTTTCCAGGGACAAAAGTGAGATCTTTAATTTCCAGGATTATTTTTGCTCTGTGTTGAAGCTGTATGCAATGTCTACCTTTCTTCAGTCATTGCGAGGTCCTGGTTATGGGGGACCTCTGATCACTGTGACTTAACACATGTGATAGTGAGTGGTCTTCTAGTGATAAGTCTCTCAGCATTGCCTCTGGTGCTGTGGATGTGCATAACTGGAGGTTTCTTGAGAGACCTCTGACCCAATCCTCATCCACTACTGATAATTCTTTCTTGAAGGTAGTCTGTAGAGTCTTAAGGCCTGAGAACCATGGCAGTGAAGGGGTAAGGTAATGAAGATACAAAGCACTTCAGCATTACCCAAGTCCGCCATCTCTAAATCACATCCCATTCAGCAAATATCCCATGTTTTCTTTATTTAGGCTTTTAATGCTAACGCAGTGGTAAAAGCTTTTCCTGTTGCCATTGATGTCCATTACGAGTTTCAAGTTTTGAATTTCCTGGCACTATTCCTGCATACTTGATGAGTGCTTCTCTATTCCATTTTTGTAGCTTGTTTTTGCTTCTACCTCATATGCACCTTTTTATTTTGCTCTGGAGCTCAGTCATGAATGCCCTGTTTAGCCCTGCTGGGCTCCTGGTGCTTCATACCTTGTGCCAAAAGAAATAGCATGTTAGCTATTATATTTGTGACTGTGAAGATGTTCCTAATTTCTTCCAGGCATTGAAATATAGCAGAGATCCATAAGCAGAGATGAGGAAGATGCTTTTACAAGTAAACCTGTCTAACATTTTTACTTTATTCCGTGATTCCATTAATGTGCTCTAGGCAATCCTGCTTTTAGCAGGGGAGTTGGACTAGATGATCTCTAGAGGTCCCTTCCAACTCTGATAATCCTGTGATTCCACTACTTTTGTAGATTATTTTTTTCTGAAATACTTATTCAGTTGACTGCTGGCTTACTAAATTTGTCTAATTAAAGCTTTCAACAAGATACCAAAACAAGATTTAAGAGTAAGGGCTGGAGAGCTGCATAGAGCTTGTGTTGTCTTTGGCTTTTGCAGCCTTCAGGAGTGTCTTGGATAATAACACTGCTGAATTCTTTCCACAGAAAAGGGATTATGAATTTTTGTTTCAATGGTCCTAAGAGAAGAGCAAAACTAGAGAAAGTAGCATTTCTCTTTACACCATGAAGAACAGTGTAAATGCTGCTCCCTGGTGAACTAGGAGTTTGGCCAGGAAAGAAGACTTTTATCAGAAGTGTTTCTGGCTGTGTTTTGCTATCTCCAGCAATAGAGATCTTAGGCAATGCAGTTGGCTCTTCTGTGCATTACAGGAAGGCTTGTCGATCATCAGTGCAGTTTTATCTATGTTTTTTTCTGACTCAGTGGATTCCCATTACTGGGAGAGTACTTAAAAAAATTGAAGTACTTTGAAATTAGTGTCTGTTTTTTGACTACTTTTCTAAGCAATGAAAGTGAAAACAAGAAACTTCTGGAACACCTCTTCAGTTTAAAATTTTAAAGTTACATACATTGTAATAAATAAGATCCTCAAGCTGAAGTTTCTCTTAAGCTGTCATATAATTGCTACATAAATGAAACGGATTGTATTATTACACAAAAAGTGCTTCTGAAGGGGAGTAGTTTTACTTTGCAGTATCAGATGTGCCACGTTTTTTGTGTCTATGTTTCTATAGAATGTCTATGTATCTCTGTATGGGGCTTAGTATAGATTTGCAGTTAGTTACTACTAGATATGAAATATTTTAAGGAAAAAAAATTGTATTGCAATGGTTTAAGTACAAATGTTTGAATAAAATGTTCTTTCATTCCAATTCTGTTGCAATTACTGTTGAATATATGAATTCTTCTTCAAAAAGAAAGGCATTGATTATAGCCAAAAAATTGCCTATTATAATGCAGGTGTAATTTCCATAGATTCATATAAATTATTTTTTTTCCTTTTGTGTTCTGATATATCAAGAAAACATTGCTGAATTTGGATATGTGTGATGCAAATGCAGTTTCTTCATTATACTTCACCACATGCTACAGATTTTTGGGAGCATTTTCTTAGATAATATCAATTAGCCAAGATCATAGTTGTTAGCAGGCTTTATAGTATATATTCATAATAGTTACATGTGTAAGATAAGTGAAGGAACTTAAAACTGCAGTAGAGATATTTAAAACTTCTTAATCCATGATTTGTCTGCAGTCCTTCAAATTTACTAACCTTGGACTGAACTATAGACCAGAAATTAAATTCTCCTTCTATCACACAAATGAATTCCTGAAAGAGAGAATGTGCACAACCTTTGTGTAGTGTGTGTGTTTTCAGTGCCTGAATATTGATGTAAAATTTGAGTTTCAAGCTAAAAGATGCTGGTCCAGGTAAATTTAGTAGGAACACTTTTAAATATTAGGCAATATTTTAAGTAATTTTTTTTAATGATATATTTAGATTTCTCCTGCTTCTCTCAACTGAACACAGAGTCATAGAATCATCAAGGTTGGAAAAGACCTTCAATATCATCAAGTCCAACTGTCTGCCCTACAACCCCTGATCACTAAACCATGTCCCGAAACACCACGCCTACCTGTTTTTTGAACATCTCCAGGGACAGAGCCTCCACCACCTCCCTGAGCAGCCTGTTCCAATGCCTCACCACTCTTTCTGTGAAGAAATTTTTCTTAATATCCAATCTGAACCTCCCCTGGTGCAACTTGACCCCATTTCCTCTTGTCCTGTTGCTGGTCACTAGGGAGAAGAGGCCAACACCCACCTCACTGCAACTTCCTTTCAAGTAGTTGTTGAGCGCAGCAATGAGGTCTTCTCTCAGCCTCATCTCAACATATACATCAGCACTGTCTGTTTAATGAATACCTTATTATGCAGTGAATTTGGCTTATGGCTGTATGAATAACTGATTAGATATGTTGTGTGTGTATATATATATATATGAATTGCTCAATAACATTGGAAGCATTTCAGTTCAGCCAAGTCAATTGATAAATTGATTTAAATAATACTGTTCCTCACATAGAACTTGACCTTTCCTTCTAGACCTTCACCTGGACTACTCATTAACCGACGAGTTCTGTAAAAATCACTTCTTGGTGGGACTGCTTCTAAGGGAGGTGGGAAATGCATTACAAGAGTTCAGAGATGTGCGGCAGATTGCGATTAGTGTGCTCAAGAATTTGATGATAAAGCATTCTTTTGATGATAGATATGCTTCCAGGGTAAGTCAATTGCTATGTTAAGTAGTAGAAAATAATAAAGATTAACTCTGCACACATACAGAAAGTTTTTTCTGTTGCCAAAGTACTATTAATTTGCACCAATGCTATTTCTGTTCAGGCTGTGGTGGAAATATAAAAAGAGGAACAAAATCAATCTACATTCCATATTTTTACCAAATGAATTCATAAAGCAACTTTTTAAATTATTACATGTGTTTATTACATTTTAGCACAGGATAATCTTAACTGCTAGTCTTAAAGTAATCAGATTTTTATAGACTGTTCCTAAAGCCCTTGTTTTCATTAAACATTACCTCTTAATATTTGGCATCTGTCCTTCTATCATCTATTATTTGTAAAATGTTTGTAAGAAAACTACAAGGCATGGTGGTAAATTTTGAGTTGTTTTTAATTTTCCTGAACTTTTTTTAACATCAGGTGTGCTGGGAAGAAGCTGTAAAATTTTAATGGAAGATGTAATTAATTAATTTATCCAGCTACTATAATATTCGTTTACTTGGTTAGTCTTCTCTAAAATCACATTAGTTTGGGGTTTTTTCTGCATTGTATTGAAACAGTAAATATAATGTACTGACCTTCAGTAAATTTGAATAAAATACAGTGATGATCTTTGCATTTTGCCATTTATGAACTTCAGAATATGGACTCTGGCAAATGCGTATCAAATGCTCTTTTATTGTAATTTAGAAGTGAATAGTTTGGGGAAAAAATCCACTGGTGATGAAAAATTCTATCTGTAATGTGTTGATGAACTGTTTATTTAGAGCCATCAAGCAAGAATAGCCACGATGTATTTGCCGCTGTTTGGACTGCTCATAGAAAATGTTCAGCGAATCAATGTTAAAGATGTGTCTCCGTTTCCTGTTAACCCTTCCAGCAATGTGAGTGGCAATTTTTATTTGATATTCTGTATTGTTTTAATCATAATTTATTGGTAACATGTATCTGAAACAATGAATACTTCTGGCAAACAAAGAATTTGATAAGCTACAGAATTCCCGGAGTTTATTCTCTTTGGTTTTTAGAAGATTGAGAGCTTAGTTAACCTTCCATGGTTTTGGCTGCAGTTTCTCTGGTCCACCTAAGTTATGCCTAACATGGTAACTGGCTACTTATAGGTAACAGTGCCTGAACTGATTTACTTGAATCTCTGAAAATTTTTGGAGAATGCTAGGCCAGACAGATTGCCACAGCATCATTCTAATGCCATGTGTTTGCACTGCCATATAATAACTTGCTTATTTTTAATCTCTGGTGTGTGTACCTATATTCCAATACAACTGTAGGCCGTACAGGATTTGCCCTACTGTATCTTTTTGAGTGCTCTACAAAGAGTGGGCAAAGCAGCTGAGGGAACAGTGCGTTTGAAATGAAAAATATCCATTCATAAATTTCTGCAATTTAATGATCTTGCTCTTGTATCTGTTACCCAGTTTTGATAATGCTTTCTGTGAGAGAAGATTTATTTAAATTATCTCTGTTTTTTAATCTAAAAAGACACTTCCCTTTAGTCTGCCTGCCAGTCTGTATACACAGTTTGTTTCTGTTGTAGATCGTGGCATTGGAGGCATTTGCACATGCAAGAAAATACTCCTCCCGATATCTAACACATAGACAATTAGTTATGTTTGCGAAAATCCCAACAAACTGAGTAGTTCCTGTTTAGTAGAAAAGATACTGTATTGGTAGTAGATTTTTTTGAAACATGTTCTTCCAGTTATGTCCAATACTGAAATAAATAGACCATTAAAAAAAAAAAAGTTAATTTTCTGGAAATTAAAGAACCGTTTAATCTTAAATGAGTGTACTTTTGGAAAATGTGAAGTGCAAGAGAACTACAGGGAAAGGAATTCAAATGGAATTTGTAATGGTAAATGTAATGTGATAGTTGCATACAATTGTTGAGTCAAAGCTTTTGTTATTGAAGTATTTTAGTTTTGTCTGTATCTTGCTCTGTTCCACTGTATTAAGAAAAAAATTAACAGTACCCTTCCAATAAGAGGAATGTTTGGATGTTTCAAATAAGAGTAATGTGGGTCTTCTGAAAGTACTGTTTTATAGACTTTAAAATTCGATGGAATACTAATTTCTTCAGTGCTTCCCAAAGCATCTTAAATCTTAGGCTATCCCAAGCTTGTGCAAATACCTGAAAAACTCGTTCCATACTTTTCAGCATATTTAATAAAATAAAAATTTAAGAAAGAAATATGCAATAAATACTGCTCTAGGAGATAAAGTGTGTCATGGTTACTAAGACCGTAATGTTGAAAAGCAATCACATTTTCCTTTCTTTTCCAAACAGAGTGCAAAGGATGATGCACTTAGTTTGCCAACTGCAAGTCAGCTGGTAACACCACAAAAATCAGGAAACACATTGGATAACAGCCTTCCTAAAGATCTATTTGGTGTTATCTCTGGCATTGGTAAGCACATAAAAAAATAACAAAATAATTTTTAAAATAACCATTTTTCTTTTTCATTTTTTACCACAAATGATTGGTCTGTGTCCAACCTTGGTTGCTTTCTGCATATGTACTTGAATGTTACTGCTTCTTTCATTCACACAGCCCTAACGCAAACGAATGTTCAGAATGGGCTGTAATTCACAGTCTGTAAAAGAGATCTTTTGGAACCTTTTTTAAAAGCTATTTCCTGGAGACAGCTGCTTTTTTTCCCCATCAGAGGGGATAGTGCTTGTCAGGCTGAAGAGAAACAGAAGACAAAACTTTACTTAGTCACTTATGGCAAGACTGCAGTTGTAAGTTATGTTAGAGACCAGCTTCTAAGCAGAATGCTGCTTGGACACATCTTTGGGCATCCTCCTGCTTGTCATCTTGGGGACAGACTTCTTAGTAAGGCCTGCAGTGGTAGGACAAGGGGTAGTGCTTTTAAACTAGAAGACAGTATATTTAGACTAGATATAAGGAAGAAATTTTTTCCAGTAAGAGTGGAGAGACACTGGGCCAAGTTGCATAGAGAGGTGGTGGAAGCCCTGTCCCTGGAAACATTCAAGGCCAGGTTGGATGGGGCTCTGAATAACCTGATCTAGCTGAAAATGTCCCTGCTCACTGCAGGTGAGGTCAGACAAGAGAGCCATTAAATGTCCCTTCCAACTCAAATGATTCTGTGATTCTTAGTGTGTTTTTCTGTTTGTTATCTGCTGTAACTAGTTGTATCACTGGCTAGTCAATTTTTAAAAAATCATATTAAAGATGAGGAAGGGAACTTTTTAAAATGTACATATTTCTTCATCTAAGAAAGATATTGGAGGTGTCTGACTAGTGGAGTCCCTCAGGGGTCGGTACTGGGACTGGTGTTGTTCAACATCTTCATCAACGACCTGGATGAGGGTATAGAATGTACCCTCAGCAAGTTTGCTGATGACACTAAGCTGGGAGGAGTGGCTGACACACCAGAAGGCTGTGCTGCCATTCAGAGAGACTTAGATAGGTTGGAGAATTGGGCGGGGAGAAACATGATGAAATTCAACAAGGGGAAGTGCAGAGTTTTACATTTGGGGAAGAACAACACCATGTCCCAGTACAGGTTGGGGGCTGAACTGCTGGAGAGTAGTGTAGGTGAAAGAGACCTGGGGGTCCTGGTAGACAGGAGGATGACCATGAGCCAGCAATGTGCCCTTGTGGCCAAGAAGGCCAATGGCATCCTGGGGTGCATTAGAAAGGGTGTGGTTAGTCGGTCAAGAGAGGTTCTCCTCCCCCTCTATTCTGCATTGGTGAGGCCACATCTGGAGTATTGTGTCCAGTTCTGGGCCCCTCAGTTCAAGAAGGACAGGGAACTGCTTGAAAGAGTCCAGCGCAGAGCTACAAAGATGATAAAGGGAGTGGAACATCCCCCTTATGAGGAAAGGCTGAGGGAGCTGGGTCTCTTTAGCTTGGAGAAAAAGAGACTGAGGGGTGACCTCATCAATGTTTATAAATATGTAAGGGGTGAGTGTCAGGGAGATGAAGTTAGGCTTTTCTCAGTGATGTCTAGTGATAGGACAAGGGGGAATGGGTGCAAATTGGAGCATAGAAGGTTCAAGGTGAATATCCAAAAAAATTTTTTTACTGTGAGAGTGACAGAGCACTGGAACAGACTGCCCAGGGAGGTTGTGGAGTCTCCTTCACTGGAGACATTCAAAACCCACCTGGACACGTTCCTGTGTGATGTGCTCTAGGTGACCCTGCTCTGGCAGGGAGGTTGGATTAGGTGATCTTTCCAGGTCCCTTCCAACCCCTAGGATTCTATGATAAGTGTGTATGCATTGTTACATATGTGTTATACACGTGCGTATGTAATTGTACCTAAGTTTGTGTGTATGTACATACCTAATTACTTTGAAACTATAGAATTAGTTTGTCTCATTAAAAGTAACTAAATGGAGTTAACTGTTTGCCTTCTAAAAAGTTATACACATGTATGCTTGTTTAAAAAGTCTGACTAAACTATGGAGTGACTTTTTTCAGTATACATATAGCTTGAGACTTTTATATTTTTGGTTTTTTAGCTTCCCCATACACTGTGTCAACTCCAAATATTAACAGTGTGAGGAATGCTGACTCAAGGGGCTCTCTTATAAGTACAGACTCAGGAAACAGTCTCCCAGAAAGACACAGTGAGAAGAGCAATTCCCTCGACAAGGTAAAACCAAACCAATAAACCTTAGTGTTTTCCTAAAACTCTATCTTAATTGTCATAGGAATTAACTTCTGTAATCTCCACTGGGAATGGGCTTTCTACAATAACTGTAGAGCAGTGTTTTGTGTAAGAATTCATTTGCAAAATAGTTACCATAAGAAGTATTTTTGTGTTGCATTTATTAAGTTGTTTTGTATAAAATACAAACATTTTCAGTATAGAAACATAAGAAAGCAGCTGTTTTTTCCTTTGCTAGAGAAAAGCACAAGGTGAAGTGTACTGAATTTTACTCAGGGGAGCTGAGTTGTTAGGACAGCTGCTTTGATTTTGTGGAGACCTTCATTCCATCCCGTTCTATATACAATATATGTAGCATTTATAGAATGCTTAAAAACACAGTTGTTATGCTTTTTATAGGTGATTTCTTGTATGTTAGTTTGATTTTTCTAATTAATTGCACTTTAAACCTGTTAGAAATCAGGATCTGTGGCTGCAGTAGCCATGAGGTATTCATTCAGTCATGTCTTTCTAGAGCTTGTGTTGATATTGATTACATTTCATTTTCTTAGCTCTTGTTGTGCAAGTCACAACATGTTAACTTTTTCCCCTTGACTCTGACATGCCTTCGTGTGGCAGAGACAGAAGCTTCTCAGAAGGCACTCTGCTCATGTTATGCGCCTTAATGGAGGAGAAGAAGAAAATTTTCACCCTGCAAAGAAAAACCGTGTTACTATGGATTTTTCACTTCTGACAATTCCTGCTTTGCCAGAGAAAATTTTGCATGCAGCTTTCTCTCTTCAGTTACAAGAAGTATTTGGTTTTTTGTGCTTGTTATAGTTAAGCTTCTGAGTGAAGTGTGTGGTCAGTAGTTTTGCCACTTCTTTGCAACAGTTGAATCTCAGGACAAATATGTACAGTGTAACCATGTAAACTGCCCTTAAATGCCAAACCTGGAATAATAGTAAATGTACATAATTCAATTTAAGCATAAAAATCAATCAGCTTAAATATCAGCAGAATCTGAGTCCTGGAGTCTTTAATAGAAAGAGAACTAAAAAGTCTTCTTTGACATTGACCAAGTAAACAAAGAAATATTCTGTGCATACGCTGTTGCTAAATGGCAATGCTGTCATCTCTTACTTAGTTGTTATGTTGTTAATTACTAATTTGTAGTGTTTTCATAAAGTAAAAAGGTTTTCAAAGGAGTCAGTATCCTTTGAAAATTCTAATCCAGTCTGCCAATTTAGGTAGTACAGGATTTATATTTTGCATGCTGTTAATATTTTCCCCAAACGATAATTAGTTGTGCCTTCTTATTTGCTGCTTTTCAAACTTTCTTTCTAGTAGACCGGTTGTTCAGTGCACGTTATGTTTTGATTTTTGCTTATTGCTTGATATCGTTACTGAAGACCCATTTTTGTTCTAATTTCCTTTCAGAATAACCTCTAGAACTATAGTTTTGGAGTCAGAATTGACTGTGAAATTACCATATTCTGCTTTAATATGTGCATACTTTATAAGTTATTGACATGATTTTAAATTAAGCTTGAGAGTACCTGTAGTCCTAGTTTCATCCATGTGCTTGTTCAGCTATTTTAGAAGGAATACTGGACAGTATCCAGAAGTCTAGGATACTTAAATTCTGTTTCTGCTCTGCCACTCATTAATTGCCTCCTCTATTTCAGCATCCATAAAGCACATCCTTGTTCACCAAAGATATATCAACGATAATAAGTTGGTGAGGTCTTTAGAATCTGCAATGATCAGCCTTATATAGGTGTCCATCTCCTCCTAAATTAGATTAACATATGGCTAGTGTTAATCATAGTTTCTCACTCAGTTTCACTGTGCATCCATTCAGTATGTGACAGATTGACACAGGGTTTTTTTAGGACAGCAGTTCTTTCCTTTTTCACGGAATGCACTAAGGGCTCAGCAGTCAGTTGATGTGTGTGCTGTGAAATGTTCCTTCATGGATTAGCAAGTCTTGTGCTTTCAGCAAGGACTCTTCCTGCAAGGGTTGTTCTACCCTTGATGTATTGGCACTTCCTGCTTTGTAAAACCAAGTCCTTTCTCCCCTGAGTCTGTTTTTATCTTTATTTTTTCCTAATTTTGACATGAAAGTTTTCTTCCAACACTGGTTCTTAAAAAGGTCATGGAGCCAAGATGATTCAACTTTCTTACAGAAACCAAAGAGTTGCACAGATATAATAAATCTGAGGCAAAAGCCTCAGGCTGAGGGTTTGTAACACTTGATGGTGTGGAAATTATTTTTTTACAGATACATCTTTGCCTAAAGTTCAGTTTGTATATATTCTCACAGTTTTATTTTTTACTTGTATGTTACACATTTTGAAAGATCAGTTATGGGGTTTTTTCTTAGTGAAGAGACTTTAGCATTGAGCATTGCTGATTAACTACACACAAGTGCGTAGGGATTGTATAAACATAAGAAGCAGGGAGAAAGAATATTTAGTTTATTTTTTTTAGGCAAGTACTAGTTACTTATCCGTAGAATGCATATTGCTGCCATTCATGTGTGGGTTTTTTTGCATCTTTAAATGAAAATAATTTTGTGGAGGCAGGTCTGTCCACAGTTCAACATAGTCTCTTCAAAAGTCAAGGAGTATGTATGTATGTATCACCTAACAGTAGCATTTATTTTTAAAGTATTTAATCTATGCAGAAGGGGCATGCCTGATTTCTACAATGTGGCTATCAATGTATAATTAACTTGATTAATAACCACTGTTAGGTAACTTTTCCTCTTACTCCTCCCTTGGGGGGAAGGAAATAAAAATAGAGAGGCTTAATTTGGTATACTTCATGTGTCTAATGTGTTTCAGTGATCTGTCTATACATGAAACATTTTTGTCTCCATTTTGAGATCCTTTTTCAGTTGCAGGAATTAATAAGGCAATTTAAAACAGTTTGTTATCAGTTTAAGAACTCTTCAACCAAAACGTGTCTGTTTTCTTTTCAGAACCAACAAAGCAGCACATTAGGAAGTTCTGTAGTTCGATATGACAAACTTGACCAAGCAGAGATCAAAAGTCTGCTCATGTGTTTCCTTCACATTCTGAGAAGTATGTCAGAAGGTAGGTAATGCCACCTATTTTTCATAAATTAAAAAAAATCTTTGGGATTTATGCCTGTGATTTTAATACTTTTTCAAAATCAGCAGAATATTTCAAGTGTAGGTGCTATGTTGTGCTATGTTTTACAAATACATGTGATCCAAGTAATCACTGTAAGCATTTCAGAAACCTTGTAAATGTTGAACAGCCATTATTGCTTCAAACTATCAGGCTAACTAAAGGTCTTGGTAAGAAATGGAATATTTGTGTCTGATTATACAGTCCAGTTCAAAAAAAGGAGGTGAAGAACAGCACAGATCAGTAGAAGAGTCTCGGGCTAGCCTATTACCTTACTCTGCAGAACTTCCTGTATGACAGGGAACTAAATTATTTGATCACTGTGTACATTTCCATTTATGGAATGGGGATGTTAGTGCTTCTTCATTCTCCTGGCATGTATGTGAGATGATCCATTGAATTTTTGAATGAGTCATATTATCCTGGAGAAGGTTGTAGAGGTACATACTGCATAGATGGCAAATCTGCTTTTTTGTTTGTTTTGTTTTTTACTGAGATCATACAACTCGGAATACTCTCTATCCTTGCTCAATATTTTAAAAAGAGAGCAAGTCCTTTTTGGTTAAAAATTTTTTTCATTTGTGCTAAACATATCAGAAGTAGCTAAGATATATTTTATGTATCTATTTTGATGTTAATTTCTAAAAATCAAGTTTAATGTATTATAGTACTTAATCAAGAATGAGAATTTGAAAGGTTAATAAATATTCAGTACCCAGTCACACCATTATATTTTGATGTATTTACATCAATATTATTTTATGTATTTTAATTAGAATAATAAAACTCAAATGTCTTTTTCACTATTTTACACTTTGAAATATGTAAAAACTAAGCAGATTTCTAGGAAATTCGATTTAAAATTTACATAAGCACAGTGGAGATTTTTTGGTGTCAATTATCCTGGGAAGGAACAAATGTCAAGTAACCTTAGCCACACATCTTTGTAATAGTTTTTAATTTGTTAGCCAGTTTTGAGCATTTTTGGCAAAAGACACCAGGAATTGTCTTAGTAACTACAAGCTTTGTAAAAAAATACAGACATATTTTAAGTCTGTCTAAATAAAGAAAAATCTGAAGACTGTGCTGAGAAACTGTCCATAGTAAAGCATTGTCAATTAAAAAAGAACTCATAAATTTGAATTTTAAAAGTGTTGGGACCAATCTGTAAAGAAGCAGGCTATAGGACTAACTCTAAAGTATTCAGTTGTGTTAAATTTTTAGAACATTGTAGTCACTACTGACTACACAATTATTAATATTTTATATGAAATATAATATTAAATTGTATGGGAATATTATGGATTAATTGACATCATATTGTAGAAACTAATTTGGATAATTGATATGTGCATTTCTATCATGACCTACAAGGAAAACTTTAAATAGTAATAGTTACTGTTCCTCACAAGCCACTTTTATATTCTCTGAATCCTTATTATCTGAAAACTAAGAACTGATGTTAACTCTTCTACTTAATACTTACGTGTGTTTGCCTTTGTCTTGTTTTTAATGTTTTTCATTTTCCTAGATGCATTGTTTACATACTGGAACAAGGCTACAAAATCTGAACTGATGGACTTTTTCACAATTACAGAGTAAGATTTTTGTTGAGTTTGTCATAAAATCATACATTTCGCCATGCTGTTAAAAACATGGGTGTGGATACACATGTGTATATCTGGTTTTATTTTTGTTAGAAAAACAATGCCAGCTTGGTCTATTTAGAAGTCCTTAATTTGATATGCACAATTGCATGTCTGTCCAATTCCATAATAGTTTCTGGAATTAGGCTAAACACAAGTGATCACAAGAAGTTCCTTAACAGTGTCTAGTGCTCAGAATATTGCTATGCTCATGGAAGAGGTAGGTGTGCTCTGGAGGGAGCCTCATGGGCCTCTGGCTGTTAATCCCAGCTTGCCCAAAACAACCACCATCTGTGACTTCAGAAAAGCCATTTTTACTTTTAAATAGCTTGGAGACTGGAAGAGAATGTTAAGGGTGGAAGAAACACAGAAGTTTTATGATGTAAGAGTTGAATAATTCCAATGTATATAGATTCAGAAAAGAATGTTTAAAGTGTTGCTTCTCTGACTTCTGTTCTCTGCAGAGTGTGCTTACATCAGTTCCAGTACATGGGCAAACGATACATAGCCAGGTACTGTGTGGAATTTGAATTTTTTGTCTTTTTCATTAAGAGTAATGCTTTGAATCTCTGTTACAAGTAAACTGCATGAGTAAAAGAGATCTTATGAAATGATTAATAACATTTGGATGTAGTTTGAAGTAAGTAACTGGTTACTATATTAACAAATCTGAAACCTGTCTAAATGCCTGCTATCTGTTTAAGAATTATGTATGTGTGTTATGTTTGTTACCAAATGCTTTAAAATCCACCCCTTACATACTATGTTTTTGAGTACTTTTTTCCTTGAAATAATGTCTTTGGGGAAGAAATGTTACCGTTTGTTTTGTTTATTCACTTGAGCATAAAACCATGCCCATTGAAATGTTTTAGAAATTTTCTGTGTAGAGTTTTTAGAGAAAGGTGAGTAGTGAACATTCCAACACTGCTGCTTGTCAGTTTGAAGTCTGAAGTACCATTAGATACCTGTGCATTCTCACTGAAGGCTGTTTAAGAGAAAATGTGTAGGAGTAGGAAACATACCCTATGTTATTTGAGTATCTTTGCATTAAGGTGGTTTTTAATGCAAAGTATTTTTTTACAGAGTAAAATCGAGCAAGTTGTTTAGGCCTTACACTATGGTTGACATGATAATACTGTTATAATTAAGTTTGTGGGGTTTGAATACTGGCCCTCTTGAACTCAGTGAGAAAATTTTTTGCTGGCTTTGGGTGGCGAAGTGTTCTACCTGTTAGCCTTTTTGGTTTTAATTTTGATTTTACGCTCTTTCTACAAACTTGACTAGACTGTCTTGGAGATTTTTCAGAAAAATCTTATCTGTGTTCATAAACCCTAAAAAAAATATCAAAGGCAAAATAAATCTGGCTTTCAGGTTTTGATGATAACTTTTGTGCTTAAATGTACTTCAAACTCGGAATTTACAGGAGTCTGTAATTTCCAGGCTTTTTGTAAAAATTCTTCAAGCTAATTTGCTTGACTCATTTGTAGAGAAGACTACCACACTTCCTTTTTGTTGACTGATCACTTAGTCTGTGGACTGCATGTTAAACTAAAAAAAAACATTATGCTATAAAAATCATCTGGTGTTCTGCTGAGATATTGAATTTTCCTAATAAATGTAGCTTTCTGGTCTTTCACATTGTCATAACGCTGAAGTATATCACAGTCAATGCACGTTCTCTTAAAATACATAAATGACAAAAAATTAGAGGGGACAGGGAATTCTGTAATTCAAGCACTGGTTTTCATTTTTCATCAGCTCTGGTGGTGGTACACAATAGGAAGTTAACCTGTACTGATTGCTAACACCAATCACTTTTCTGTTTTCTTCACTCAATTGCTGCAAGTTTAACAAAGTATATGGCTCTTCTCCCTTCCTGCTTGGGTAAGATGTACATGATAGTACCTCAGTTAATTCCTGCTCTCTTGGTGCATGTTTGCTTCCTGTTTTTACCACTGTGTGTCCTAACTTTTTTCTGAAATTTTTTGCGATCAAAATAGAAGATCCGGGTTTTGGGTTCTGAATATTTTCAGAATATTTATGTTCTCAGATATTTATGCTTTCAAAAGCTCCTATGTAAACGTAGCACTTCAGGAGCAACTGCTTGTGTGCTTTTGCTTTCATGCTTTGAGGTTTTAAGAAAGAGTTTGATGTGATGCTTAAAAGTGGCCTATTTTTGTTTTATAAATAAAACTGTAAATAGGTTGCATTACAGCTCTTTCTATAAAACTTCTTGTGCTTAACTAACACTTCCTGTCTTGCTGCAGTTTGACATGTCTAACTTTTGCTTCTATCCCATTTCACCCATCTTGCAGGAACCAGGAGGGGTTGGGATCCATAGTTCATGATCGAAAATCTCAGACATTACCTGTTTCCCGTAGCAGAACAGGAATGATGCATGCCAGATTGCAGCAGCTGAGCAGCCTGGATAACTCTCTCACTTTTAACCACAGTAAGTCTCATGACATGGTAACATTCATCATCCTCAACCAGTACCACAACACCAGAGACAGGCCCCAGAGCCACACCAGTGCATTTCAATGACTTTTTATTGTTGTAGGTCAAATGAATAGCTGGAATCAGTCGATCAGTTCCCTGCTTTATGATGGAGTAATCAATATTGGCTGATGTCATAACATGGAGTGTGGTTAACTACAGCATATTTTTAAATAATATTTTAATTAGTTTTAATTATATGCACTTCGACTTTGTGCTGCAGTTACAAAATGTGTTTGTTTTTTCAATTTGCTTTATTAAGCGTCATTTTTTCACCTCCTTGGTCTTACAAGAGATTATTCTACAAGTAAAAATGTGCACTCTGACCATATCTCCATGTTTTGACATCCCCAAAGGAAAATGATTTTCTTGGAATTGCTAGAGAGATTGTGCAGCCCATGATTTGGTTTGTCCAAAAGTGAAAAAGCGTCCAATAATGAAGTGATTTTTCTGTTTTCAGTGTGAGAAAGATATCAAGTATTCTTGGAATTTCTGTAGACAATGGTAAGATTTAATCAGGTTGAAGTCAGCTTGTATAAGACTGCTGTATTGAAAACTAAATCTGCTTGTGGCCTATCTATTTAAACATGCTGCTCTTTTATTGCAAAATATACTGTATATAAAGTATTCTGAAGCACCATTTTTCAATTTTCAGCTTAAAAAACCAGTGAAACTGGTTGACTAATCCAGTAAAATACAACACTGACACTGAAAATAAATTTTTGCAGTAAATCAATTATTTAACTGTATGTTCACTGCGTTCATCCTTTTATTTCCCAAAGCATATCTAACTGTCCCTTAAAATCTTTTAGCTCGTTATCTGTGATATAAAGCAACAGCCTAATTCCACAAGACTTACCACATGGTCTAGTGGACAACTGGAAAAAAAAATAATCCCACCAAGCTTCTGTGTTTATAAATGCATTCTCAGGCTTGTCTGAATATAAGAAGTGGAATTATTTTATTTTTAAAATGTAAAAAAACTGTATTGCTGTGTAAATTACATTTTTTCCTTGTAATCAGTCTGCTACTGCTATATCATAATAATTTCTACCTGTTTTTTTGATACACAAAACTAAGAGCTTTTACATTGTGTGACTACTCAATTCAGTAAGTTAAAATACTTTGTAGCTAAAGACTGATTTACCAAAAAAAATAACATGGCTGTTTCTAGGCCCTGTGCAAAGAATTTCATACTTCCAACTTGGCAAAGTTTACTGATTTCTAGGAGACAGTGAGCTGAAAGATTTTAATAAATGCATGCTTACATAAAAATAAACTTTCTATTCTTTTCCATCTGAAGGATATTACGAAGGAATGTTTCTCATTTATATAACTTTGCAAAAAGTGGTATTAGGTGGGTTTTTAAATGTTGGACATTTAATAAATAACAGAATGTTACACCTTGAATTGACCAAGGTTTCACAAAGTGAAAATATGTTGCTGTAAAAGCTATGTCAGATGTGAAATTAATTGTTTTTGTCTTTGATCTTCCTGTTGTCATCTAACTTACAGGGTTTTTTTGTCTGCCTATATTGTGTATCGAAAGTATTTTTCAGAACTTGAATAAAATTTTTAGGTATCCTGAATGGTATAAATGCAGAAAGGATGAATCTCGTGGAAATAGTTGCTTTACTATTTGGCAAGATAGTTGTCTACACGTGTAAATTATAAATTAAAATTTCTCTGTTTCTTGATCATTTAAGGAAGGAATAGAACTGAAGTAACGTTGTAAATTATATTTCACATCTCTTGAGGAATTTAAGTATAGTTTTGTGCTTAAATATGAAAGAATTTAGGCCTTTTATTCAAAATTCTAAAGCATCACAATACAACCTACATGAATGTAGATGTGTATATGTATTGTTGAGGCTAGAGGAGAGGAGGACACTCAGTAGAATAGTGACATGGAAATGTACAGAAATACCAGAGATATATCCTGATCTGTAATAGCAGTGTATGATACTTGTCCAGCTTGTAGTCATTAGAGATTATCCCATTTTCAGTGTTCTTAGATGTTTCAAATCCAGTTACTCTGCAGTAGTGTGAAAGTATGGGTGCATGTTCATGTGAGTGTCCAAGCAGATGTCCACGTGATATGTGGTAATTGTAGTTCCATAGGTTTTTTAAAGTTACATGTGAAAAATAGAATCCAATATGTTAGTTATACATGAAGAAATCAGTATTACCTTCTCTAAACTGGTAGCAAATTGAAACAAGGATAATTTTTAGGATATATATGGAAAACCACTGAAAAAAATCAGTATTTTAACTCAGTCACATTGACTATTCCTTTAAGTTTACATCCTGACTAAAACTTCTGTCTAGTAATAATGCAGAGCAATCAGTCAGTGATCTTTTTATTTGCTTGTTCAAATTATTTATATGAAGAACAACATTTGAACTTTTTGGAATCCTGTTCATTGACTGCAGTTTTTACTTAGTATTTTTAATAAATCTCACAGCTTTCTTCTTATCTGAAAGAGCAAACAATTATTTCTTTAAAGAATATTTCCCCTTTTGTCAGTGCAATTCTCAAGAGACATCATCTCTTGGTATCTTCAACATTACTGAAACTGCAGACTAACTTAAGGATTACTGATCACCTGAAGGTGATTGCTATTAAAAAAATAGGGTTTCTTTGAATTTCTTTAATGAAAAGAGCACTTTTACTGAAATAAAAACATTTGGCAAATGGCTGTTTTGTTAAAATTTGCTTCCAATCCCAGTCATTCCTTTCCATCATTACAGATGTGAAGGGTGTAGTTGGATTGAAACCACAGAGAAAATACATGGGAGAAGGAAGAGGTGGAGCAGAGAATGCAACTGATGATAGGAAATGGTATATGCTTCATAGCAGGAAGAATGTGTAAAAATCCAAAGACATTAGTGGTTATAGGTATGCATGTGCAGAGTTCAGCCAGGGATGCAAGAAAGTGCAGAAAAAAGTGGCCAGGTGTCACTATAAAAGAATATGTCATTTCTTTTCTTGGTCTCAACAGGTTTTTCATGCTTGTCATTGATTTAGTGGTGCTAAGTTGACTATAAATCTAAAATATAAACCATCACATCATTAAGGTTGGAAGCGACCTCAAAGATCATCAGATTCCACCCCCCTGCCATGAGCAGGGAACCCTACCACTAGACCAGGTTGCACAAAACCTCATCCAACCTGCCCTTAAAAACCTCCAGGGATGGGGCATCAGCAGCCTCCCTGGGCAACCCATTACATTTCCTCACCACCCTTATAGGGAATAATTTCTTCATAATATCTGACCTAAATCTCCCCTCTCTCAGTTTAAGACCATTAACCCTTGTGCTCTCACTATCTTCTCTGATGAAAAGCCCCTCCCCAGCTTTCCTGTGGCCCCCTTCAGGCACTGGAAGGCTGCTATAAGGTCTCTCTGAAGCCTTCTCGACTCCAGGCTGAACAGCCCATTGTTCTTAAAGATCAGTGTTAGGGAACATAAACAATGTATTATAACCAGTACTGAAGCAGCATTTTTAAAAAAAAAACTATTTAAATACAATATAGAGCTAGAAGCGATAATATATTGTGATTAAATATGGAGCTATTGCAGAATTAATTACTTGGGTCTTCACTTCATGTAAGTACACGTTTGTCCTCATTCAGCTCTTCATGTTTTGTTATTCTTTAATGGTTGACTTATGATTGACTTTGTGATCATACACATTTCCAGCTCTAAATCCAATCTACTGCAATACTTAAGAATATATATGAGAATTGATATGAATCTGTACATTTATATATATGTGTATGTATATATACATATATATTGAAACTTTAGTCTTTTACTGCTTTAACTCCTGATTAATGCTTCTGCTGTTAACATTTGTACTTAATGTATTTTATGATCTTGTGCAAATTATGTTAGGATGATATGGGCATATTTTGAAAAATATTTAAATGCTAATATTTAATATTAGTTATTTTTCTGTATTGAATGCTGTCAGACTTTTTACTTGTTAATATTTTTCCAGTTCATCAAATATTTTGGAAATAAGAAACATTTAAATAAGTTTTTCCAGCATTCACTCTTCATTTGGAATTTCTACAGGCTATGGCCATTCAGATGCAGATGTTCTTCACCAGTCTTTACTTGAAGCAAATACTGCCACTGAAGTTTGCCTTACAATTTTGGATACTCTATCATTATTCACAATGGCTTTTAAGGTTTGTTCTTGACTTGGTGTTAACATCTTCTGTAATTATCTTTCAGAAAAAATAAATAAAATTTAAAACAATTTATATTTTATAGTCTAGTAATGTAGTATTGAATTTTTAGCATTTCTAGCATTATATTTCACTGCTGTAATGTAAAAGCTGATAAACTCTCGCAGCAAAATGGTTTGGTTTTGGATAAACATCGCACACATACTCCTTACTGATCAACAGTGATCTTTGGGAAAAGCTCCTTCCTTATCCTAACTTCCTAAAAACATTTCTAGGAAGTTTGGTGTCTACCTAATATTAGTGGTAAAACTGTCTTTTAAAGGCCAGTGGGGTGAAAGATCTATGTTATGACAAAACTGTAATTCGTAATTGGACAGTGTCAGACTTGTGTATTGAACTTGGCTTCTTATATTAAGTCACTCTTTATAGTAATTTGTGTGTGTTCCTTTTCTGTAATTTTATTTCAATTGTAAGACTTCTTAGTCGTATCAGTTGCTGTAGCTCTCCTGTGGAATTTTTTCATAGCATGCTCACTTGCATGCCCCTCCTGTCTGGCTTTTTGAGCTTTTCCAAACTTTAAAGGTGAAGCTATATAAAAAAGAAATGTTAGCTCTAGCTTGTTTCTCCTCTGATTAGAACAGTGTATCCAAATTCTTGCTTGAAGATAGAAATTTAGTGTCTTATTTTTAATCTAGTCATGAAAACATGAGATTATTTATTATGAGATACCTTTTATTAATAATAGATAGAGTATTAGTACAGATAGTTTAGAACCAGTTCTGTTCACAGACTTCATAACAGAATTGAAAATTAAGATAGCTAGTTTTAAAGAGTTAAAGAAGAATTAAAACTAATATTTTGGTTATCAACTGCCCATCATGCTAGGAGTGACAGTCCTTTGAGGTTATCTATATTTAATATGTTGAGAAAGTGAGTAAGAGTATATCAGAATAGTGTACACAATCCAAAACAAACAGATAGGAGAATCAGCTTCTATTCCATCAACTGCACTAAAATACATAAAATCATGGAATCAAAGGATGGCTTTGTTGGAAGGGACCTTGAAAGATCACCTAGTCTGGTGCCCCTGCCATGGGCAGGGACATATTTCACTAGATCAGGTTTCTAAAAGTTCTGTCTATCCTGACCTTGAGAACTTCCAATGGTGGGGCATCCACAGCTTTCCTAGGCAAGTGTTCCTGTGTCTCACCACACTCATTGTAAAAAAAATTCCTCTTTATGTCCAGTCTGACCCTACCTGCTTTCAGTTTAAAACCACTGCCCTTTGTCCTGTCACTGCAGGCCTTGGTAAAAAGTCTCTCTCCATCTTACATGGAAGCACCCTTGATATATTGAAAAGCCCCAGTGAGGTGTCTCTAGAGCCTTCTCTTCTCCAGGCTGAACCACTCCAACTCTCTCAGCCTTTCTTAATAGAAATGTTCCCTTCTAAGCATTTTCACAGCTCAACCATGGACCCACTCTAACTGATGTCAGTGCCTTTCATGCACTGTGGGCCACAGAGCTGGACACAATACACCAGATTGGGTTCTCATGAGAGCAGAGTAGAGCAGGAGGATCACTTCATCCATCTGCTGTCCATGCTTCTTGTTACACACTCCAGTTTTCTGGGCTGCAAATACACATTGATTGCTCATGTCCAGTTTTTCATCCAGCAGTATCCCCAAGTCCTTTTTTCCACAGGACTGCTCTTAATCCATTCATGCCCTAGTCTATATTGATACTGGAGATTGCCTCAACCTAGGTGCAGGACCTTGCATTTGGCCTTGTTGAAGTTCAGGAGAGTCACATAGACCCACTTCTCAAGTCTGTTAAGGTCCCTCTGGATGGCATGGTACACGAAAGTCTCTACCTAATCAACAACTTGTCATCTACAAACTTGCTGAGGCTGCACTCGAGGGACATCACTTATTAGTGTTTTCAACTTGGACATTGAGTGTAACACTTTGGACACAGCCATCCAGCCAATTCTTTATCCTTCTAACAGCCCATCTGTCAAACCTATATGTTTCAAAATTAGTGGCAAGAATGTTGTAGAGAATCATATCAAAGGGCTTACACAGTAAAGACAAATGAGATCCATAGATCTTTCCTTGTCTACTGATGCAGTCACTCCATCATAGAAGGCCACTAGGTTAGTAATACCAATGTGCTTCTTTTGGTAATGATTATCACATTATATAGAAGGCCAGACAACATTTTTCTGTAAGATCGTATTTCGCTAGTGGGGATCCACATTTCTATTATCTATTAAAGCAGGGAAATCACAAGTTATGTCTGCTTCTTAGTAGAATTTTAACTGATCCTATGGCATGTGCTAGTACTCAAGGTGGTTTAGTTAACTACCTACCTCTGGTGTTGGGACATCTAAAGAAGAGTTGTTATATCAATTTCCTCATAAGGATAGGGGTTTGTAAGTCAACATCTCAGTGTTTTGCTATAAATCTGGCAGTAGTAAGCCTTTCCATCTTTTAGGACTTGCACTTAGGTGCTTGGGTTTGGGTTGTCTGCTGAGATCTGTATACATTTCCAAGAGATAAAACTACCTCCTGTGACTAAATAGGCTGACTGGCTGATATCTAACCATTTATGTCTAACTTTCTCTAAAAGGGCCTGCCTGTGGTTTCACTGCGTGGCCTTTGGAGATCTTTGGTCTTCTGCCAGCATTTGTATCTATTAATCCACAAAGCTTGAAACCACACTGAGTTCTTGTGGTCTGCAAGTCATGTTATCAGAGTGGCTTTTAATGGAGGACTGCCTCCTTCAATTTTTTAGTAGTGGGGAACACCCAAAATGCCTAGAGCTGTGCTGAAAATCTTTACCCTGAAGAATTTATTCTGCGTTTCCATGAACAGAAAATAATTCATCTGCAGTTAGACATCTCTTCCATGTTTGAGAGAACCTAAGACATGCTACACGAGCCCAGGACTGTACTGGGCCTCAAGAATCTTTTTTAAAAAAATTGTTAAGCTAGATTATTTGAGTTAATGTTACCTTAAAACTTACTTGAGTTAGTAATGGAGGTGCCTTCCAGCATACAGTATGGATGCCTGAATATAGTAATGAAGAGTGGAGTGTGCAGGGGGGAATTGCAGAACGTACAAGAGCTAGTAGAATTGTGTTGGAGGGCCAGTGGAGTCAAAGAGAGCAATATTTACCACAGTCCACTCAGTTCTGAACTCCCAGGACTGAATTTAGCAGTCCCTGAATTGATTGACTTGTTTAGGTGTTTTGTAAGAGGAGATACCTTGTTTCATCTTAAAATCCTATAGGAACCTAGTGCATATGCTCAGTGGACAATGGGAGAACACAGGTCCTAGAGCAAAACAAAAGCAATAGGAACGGTTGAGGATAGATGCACAGCCAGTTCCTGTGTTACACAAATGGAAGGAGATGAGATTTTTTTAATAAGTTTTAGTGGAAGGAAGCTGTTGTGATGCAGAAATCAGGAGTAACCCTGTGTATTGCATGCCTCAGAATGAGCTTTGTAATATTCATACAATTAAAACTCTGAAAAGTAACTAGTATTTTTGTCCTTAAGAGTCCTTCAGTTTCAGTTCTAGGGTAGTAATGAAAGATAGTAAGTGGGTTGGAGTTTGGTTTATGGGGAGGTTTTTTTGAGAGCAGTGTAATGGATGCACGGTAAGAAAATTCCACTGTCTGAGCTGCTAAAGCCAGTTGTAACCCAAGTGTTTTAATACCTTGAGTGTGCCTCTCTAAGCACTGTTAATAATAATGAATTTAACTAGCAGCTCTTAACAACAATCATGTTCTACTCGTCTATTCAGAAGCCAACACTTTCTTTATAAGCAAGATTAAGAAAGTGTTAGACATGCCAAATTATATTTCAGGTATTTTGTATTACTAACATTTTGGTAATAACATACAGATTTATTTTTTAAAAATTTTTATTTCCTGCTTTTGGATAGGTGTATGTTCTTAGAGTAATATAAATGTATCACTGTGCAAAACTCCTAAATTCTCACTCTCAATTTAAAGAATCAACTACTGACTGACCATGGGCATAATCCACTGATGAAGAAAGTGTTTGATGTATACCTCTGCTTCCTTCAAAAGAATCAGTCTGAAACAGCGTTGAAAAATGTCTTCATTGCTTTAAGGGCACTTATTTATAAGGTAAGCAGATTTAAAATAATTAATCTTCAAGTACTTACCCAGTTCTTTAGCTAACAATATACTATGTAAAAGTTTTAGAACTAAAATCCCAAATTAAAAGTTGTGAATAAGGATTGATCTGATCTTAATAATGTGTGATAATTATCCTATCCTTGGAACTGCTGTAAAAATAATTTTCTGTCATGAGCTACCATAACTGTCTCTTTTTTCCAATTTGAGATTATTAATTATGTGGTTTTTTTCTTGACATGCTTATTTTATCAAGAACTGAACCTTGTTTTAATGAGTAACTTCTTCCTTTTCTGCTTTTTCCTCAGTTTCCTTCTACATTTTATGAAGGTAGAGCTGATATGTGTTCTGCACTATGCTATGAAATTCTGAAGTATTGTAATTCCAAACTGAGTTCAATTCGTACCGAAGCTTCACAGTTACTATACTTCTTAATGAGAAATAATTTTGATTACACAGGGAAGAAGTCTTTTGTTAGGACACATCTGCAAGTTAGTATATTTTTTGTTTGTTTGTTTGTGTTGGTTTTTTTAAATATTGGTTTGCCTATATTTTTAGGTGCATAGTTACATCACAGTGTGCAAAGCCCTGTCAGATAAAGACATCAAAGTAATTCTTTTGGATTCAAGCAAGGCTGGTACCATTTTAAGAGTAAGAAGATAGCAATAAAAGTATATCCAGTACAATAAATACTTTAAAACATTTTGATGGCCAGTGTTTTGTAGGACATAATTTTATTTGTGAGTAAAAAAATCTTTACTCACGTAGCTGTAATTTTTGTTGTTAAATAGCATATCATATTGCATTTGAAGAAGCAAGGAGTGCAGCAATAAGCCCCTCAAAATTTAAAACAAAACAAATACATGGAATGCTGTGTGTTCTGGCAAAGCTGGGAACAATAGTTTACTACTTACATGACCTCTGGCTAGTTCATCTAGCACTCAGTCTTTAGACCAGAGGGTGCTTGTTCGTTAAATTTACCCAACCCTGCTTTTTTTTGATGGTGTTGCTATGAATGTAACTTTGGGAAAAAAAAATAATCAAAATATAGTTTCACTTAAGGGAATAATCTTTCCATTAAAAAGAACAAAACTTCCTTTGTAATTGCTTCATAGGTACATTTCAAGGGTATTTAATGAAATATGCACTAACAAGACGTTTGTTTCTGTCAAGGTTATTATCTCAGTAAGCCAGTTGATTGCTGATGTTGTTGGAATTGGAGGAACAAGATTCCAGCAGTCTCTTTCCATCATCAATAATTGTGCCAATAACGACAGAATTATAAAGGTCTGGTTTTATTCTTCTTTCCATACTGTAGAAAGGATGCTTGAGTTCTCTTTCATAGTGTCTTTTGCAATTATGTTTCAACTTTTGATAATGCAAAGAATAGAAAAAGAAGGTAGCAGTTAACCCAACTTTTCCATGTTTTAGCACACTACATTCCCTTCTGATGTTAAGGATTTAACAAAACGAATTCGTACGGTACTGATGGCTACAGCTCAGATGAAGGAGCATGAGAATGATCCAGAAATGCTTGTAGACCTCCAGTACAGTTTGGCAAAGTCTTATGCTAGTACACCTGAACTAAGGAAGACGTGGTTAGACAGCATGGCAAGGATCCATGTTAAGAACGGAGACCTTTCAGAGGTAAGAGAAAAAAGGCAAACTTGTAATGGATTGAGAGCAGCCCTGAGAAGGACTTTGGGGTGTTGGTTGATGTAGAAGTTCAACATGAGCTAACAAAACAAGTCAGCAGAAGAGCCATTAAATGTTAATTAGAGTAATTAATACCTCTTTTGTTTCACCTAATGCTTGAAGTACATCCCAAAAAGAGATCTGCCTGTTTTTATTACAGCATGACATTCTTACCTTGTAGTTTGTGGTCACTCAGATTGTGTGTTGCTGTTCATGCTACTTCCACACTCTGGTGAAAAGCTAGTGTTCTTGCACACTTACTGTTTTGCATAAATGAGGTGGAGAGTTCTTACACCAATCATAGGACATCTGCAAAACAGCTAAAAGGAAACCCAAACAAATTATCTTAGGCTAGGGCTCTTCTAATATACTATATTTTCAGTAGTTCCATTCTAAGATTTATAAGATTATAACTATTTCTGTTTTAGGCAGCAATGTGCTACGTCCATGTAGCAGCACTGGTTGCAGAGTATCTCACACGAAAAGGTACAATTTTGAAATCTTACTTTAATGCTTTTTGGTTTTCATTATAATTTAGGAAAAGCAATACTTTCCCTGAGGAAGTTGTAGGCATTTCAGTGCTTGCCAAGGAGAAATTTCTGACATAAACAGATAGCACACTCACGTGTTTAAGAACATACATGCATATCTAAGGGGCAGCATTTCAGATGAATGTAAAGTAAAATTTTTAGGAAAATAGAATTTTTAATTTTACATGAGTTGCTAATAGCTCAAGTGAGACCTTTTTCAAAGCAAACTTATTAGTGAATGTTCTTGTTGAACAAGTAGTCTCTGAGTCAGTGGTAGTGGTGCCACAGTGCTTCACCTGTAGTCGTGTTCTTTGCTAGCAGCTGTCTACCTCCTTAAAACAGGGTAGAAAACTATCTTTCATCTGTAGGATCAGAGGAGTTCTCAGGGATTTGAAAAAGAGAAGATTATATGTCTTATATTAAGAAATGCAGATCTCTGTAAGAAAATTTCAGAAATATCTTAAGTCTGATTATGTTGAGCTAGTGTTTTGTTTTTGTAGGCAGACAAATTCATGTTTGCAGTGTTATCTTTGGCTTTGCATGACTGTTCAAAATGAAGCAAAGTCATGGGTCTACAAGTTGCCATTTCTCTGTGGTTCCTTTGGGTGATCTGGTATTATTGTCTGGTGTCATATAAAAGTTAGTTCCTCTTGGTAATACAGGTGGTTAAACTTCTACCTGTGGTGTTTCTAGGAGCAAAACGAAACCATGCATTTGAGGTATTAAATTGAATTATCATTCAATAAAACCTCTGGTGGTCAGACTTCCACTGACCAGAACGAGTCTTTGTAGGAATGAACTGTGAAATAAATATGTGCAAGTCCTTGTGCTTCTATAATATTTATTGATTGCTCTTGAGGTTTGAATTAACACAGTTATTGGCCAAAAATCCTGAATTCTTAGTTCAGCAATCTGGTATAAGAAGAAAGAGCTAAACAGAATGGGTAGAAGAGGTAGGTTTCGTGTTAGAATATCCTAAAACCCATTTGGGCTAAATACTTATTTCAGTAAAGAAGTTATATTAGTGAGTTGTTTTTTTTTCTTGCTTGTAGTCTGACTTTCTATACCTACAGCTGAATTATGGGTATTACCATCCTCTGATCATTTTGTCTGGTTGATGTCGGTCCATTCATAGTGTTCAGACTGGGGAAGCTGATATGCCAGGGCCTGTCCATATACACAGTTCCAGCATGACTTCACACTAGTTTAATTAAACACTGTAAAAGTTACCTTGGTTACCTTAGGCTTGGTGTGGAGTAGATTAGACATAGATTTAAGATAAAATGGGGATATTCAGATGCTAGTTATTCTGGTGAGTAGGAGCAGAATATTAGAATTTGTGGGGTTTTTTAAAAACACATTTATACTTACACAGTACTGTGAGCTGTAGTATTTTAATCATGCAGTGGAAGGCTGGGGTTTTCATTTTATTTCATTTGGTGGCAAGGACATTTAAATCTGGCTTCTGCCTTATCCAGCAACACAAAATGGTCTGATGTTATCCTGGCAGAGAAAAGTAAATTTTTCTGTTTTCTTTTTTAATGACAGGGATGTTTAGGCAAGGTTGTACTGCTTTCAGAGTAATCACACCTAATATAGATGAAGAGGCTTCAATGATGGAGGATGTTGGGATGCAAGATGTTCACTTCAATGAAGTAAGTAAACAACAGTGTTAGAACTGATGCACACTGAAGTGCTGTTTATTTTTCCAAGTTTTGTGTTTCAGTCCTGAGGCTGACTACTATTATATATATTACTATTATTTTCTTAGCCATGATTCTTATCCTGAAACTGAAATAAAGAATTTCTGTGAGTTGTCCCAGCTTAAGAAAATTTACTATATACATATATTTAAAATAAAGCACAAGCACATAAACACAACACCACTACTGGAATAAAAATAAGCAAAATGGGCTTTCAAGTTAGTTGACTGGATGAACACTAATGTGGATTATTTATCAGTTGACAAGATCTGTTTTGGGTTTTTTTAAGCTGATTTTGATTTATTACATCAGCAACTGTGAAAATGTGTTTGGAGTTTCTCATAAAAATGAAAGTTATTTTATTGACACCAGATTTGAATATTTTTTTTTTCTGGCTAAAGTTTCGCTATTTGTGTCTTCACTGATCTTAATAGAAAATTTTACTATTAAGAAGCCAATGCTCACAAAGAGCTATGTTTACACTATGTAGTTGCCAGGATAGGTGGGGAAGGAAGGGACAGACCACTACTTGCTGTAGCTGTGTTGGAAAAGTCTCTGGTGTGTAAGTGTAATTGTACAACAAAAATACTTTTATTTTGTTTGTATATAGTAAAAGTGTGTGACAGAATTATTTGACTCTGCTAGTTGAGTCTATACGAACAGATTCAGGAGGAAGGGATGAAAGATGTAGTGTTTTAAACCTGGATTTAGAGCTAAGGGAAATGTGATTTACTCCAAAGTTCTGCTACTGCTTTGCTCTGTGGTCTCAAGACTAAAATTGTTGGCTTTGTTAAAGCAGGAGTTGGAATTGCTTGCAGTGAGAAGTAAAGTGCTTTTCATTTCCAAAGACATTCAATAGCAGATAGCTTTTTTTTTTAGAATTTTTGTGCTATACTCTTTAAAACACAGGATTCTTTTGATCCAGCATGGAATTTAGCACTTGACTTAAAACAAAACATAAGCTGCTCTTTTTTCTTTTTCTGATTAGTCGCTTTCTACAAAAAGAATATACTGCTTTTTCTGGGTCATTGAACCCTGCCCAGATTTATTTCCATCTCTCAGTATTTCCATGGAATGAAACGAAGCCAAGAGTGAAATTACAAGCCTGTGGAGCTTGCAAAGGGATCAAACCTTGCCAAATGTCATTGTTCTCTGCATGCAACACTTTTTAAAGTTAACCATATAGAAGATTAACTGAAATATTGAGAAAATTATGGATATATTAAGGTTACTAGTATTTTAAAGAAGTACATCAAAACAACTTAGTTGTTTTAAGAACAGGAGCATACTCATGTGGAGTGTTTCTTCAATACGTTCTTACGTAAGCAAAACTGTATTAGTCTAATTCAAAAGATCATATCAGAGATCAGTTTGGTACAAAAACTGAAAAGTAGGAACATCTCTTTCAAGCTCCACTTTACTACTACAGTGCAAAATGATACTCTGATGGGAATTCTTCTTACACCTGCTAACAAGGGTCATGTAGGATTTCTTTCTTAAAACTGGGGATGCTAGTTAAATTTAGAGTTAAATCTCCAGAAGAGTAATTACAAGAACTGGGGAGTCAGTGTGGATCCCTCCTTGTTTCTAAAAGGGGAAAAACATCTTTTAAATTCTTCACTCTATATAGTCTTCCCAATAAAAGTGAAATTTGTCTTACGATTCCATTTTAGCTTCTCATTTTTAAAATGAAATTTTGTAAATACTCAATTTAATTATCGTTTTTAAGTAATTCCCTCCCAGTCCACAGTTACCCTGACTCATTTCCTAAACTAGCCTACTGAAAAAAACATTGCAGCTGCTTTTTTTTTTAAAACAAAGTTATCGTGTGCATTTCATTAAAACAGTTGTTTACCTAGATATCTTATTCAGCAACACAAATCAGATTCTCCCTCCAGAACCAAAATCTTGTCCTGTCAAAAACTGGAAGGCAAAGCCTGGAACCTGGTATCCTTTCCATGCTAGACTTTGCTGCAAGCAGTCCCATCTGTGGGAGGTCTGAGCTATGGCTGACAGGCCTGTGTGGCAGGTGCCAGATTCCATGCAGATTAAGGCTGGAAACAGTTTCATTCGGATTTGTTGCATTTTTCCAACATACACTGCCAGAGAATATAGCCCCACCACAATCAATCTTTACCTTCCTATTTGTTTCTTCTGGTGTCTTGTTAGCTATGACTTTGCTTGAGAGGAATTATTCTAACCTGATAGTAAGTGGAAGAGATTCAGAGCTCACGTGGTATTATAGGTCTTTTAAGCGATCAGTGTAATTCAATATATTAAAAATGTTTATGAAAAACAGAAGTAAGTGCTTACCCAAGCATACAAGATACTGTAAATATGGTTGTGAAGGCTGGTATTCTTCAGAGATACTCAAGCTGATATTGTTTAACATCTTCATTAGGAATCTGGGTCACAGGTACAGCCTGGCGTCAAGTTTGTGGATGGGACTAAATGGAGGGGTTAGTGACTGTTACACTGGGGGCAGGGCTGCTATTTAGAAGTACCTCAAACTGAAGAAATATGTGACAGAAGCTTCTCAGAGATGTACAAAGACAAGTGCAAAGTCTTGCTTCTGTGAAAGAATCACCCATTGTCTCAGTACAGGCTGGGGACAGACTGGACTGGTTCTGCATGTGGAAAGACCTGGGAGTTCTGGTGGACAAGAGGTTGAATGGGAAAGCAGCAGTGTAGCCTTGTGGCAACAAAGGCCACCTGGGTTGTATTATAAAAAGTACAGAGTCTGGAAGTGGAGGGAAGTGGGTTTTTTCCCCCCCTCCTACTTGCCATTTGTGGCACCCCATCAGTAATATTGCAGCCAGTGCTCACCCCCCATAGTCAAGGGAGATAGCAACAAACTGGGAAAAGTCCAGATATTAGAGGTGCACAATAAAAGAGTGAGATGCCATTCTCTCAGGTTACATGGAAAAAAGCATATTCCCATGAGGATGAATAACCACTCACATAGGTGGCACAGAAATTTGTTTTTTTCTTGCCTCCTATCAGCTCTCCCACATGAAGCTTGTGCCCTTTTTTTTTTCCTTTTTCTTTTTTTCCATTCTCCTTTGTATTCACAAAAATTTGCTGCTTTGCTGCATTTGGGTGCCCTCTGGTGTCTGAGTTAGGGCTCTTGTCATAAAAATCAGTGTTTTGTGTGCAGCCCTTGTGATACAGCAGTGACACTGACCTTTCAGTTCTCACCACCTGGTTGCTGAAGGTAGAAATATTGGGGAGTCTATACATAAACTCCCTAATTATTAGTGGAAAGGAAGACATGGTTCAGGGACTGTTGCTGCACATGGATAAGGGTAGCATTTTTCAGTCATTTTTTGGTCTCTGTATTAAACTTGGCTTTTCTAAATTATGTCTTTATGCTATCTTAGCCCTTCCCAGAGGGAGGAGGGGAATAAAGTAGCATTGGATCCCTTCTAAGGGTAAAAGGAATTATTTCCAGCTTCTGGATTCACCGCTACAGTGCTTGAGTGGTACCAAAAGGTCTCAAGAAGCAGAAATGTAATGTTTTGTGCCACCTCTCAGTCTCAAACTTGGATTCTTGTGGTGTTTCATGGAGCTTCAGACTTTTTTGAAGAGGACTGAGATGTGTTAGGGTATGTGGATGTGAATGAGCTTCTTCCCTGTGGTTCTGTCACACTCAAGCCATGACCATGTATATATGACAGCTTCATCACAGAAGCTTTAAGCTCTTCAATAATACCTGTAAATTTATATTTTTATAACTGAGTTAATAGAGTTAGCTAGGTAACTTTACATTTATTAAAAATAGAGCAAAGTAATAATGTAATCATAGTTTTGTTACGCTTATTGAAATAGAAGAAATTAAGTGTGTGGAAAATAAAGAATCATGACAAACTGAAGGGACTTGAGGATGCAGTGCTCTATTGCAAAATGTATGCTTCCATTCTAATACATCATTTGACTTTAAATGACTATACTTTTGCTACAAGGATATTAAGATCAAACCCAACAAAGCCAAGGTGGTTTCTTGCTTGTGGCTCTATTTTGATCCTTCACAATTTCTCAGCTTCTCTTACTGTTGTTTTATTTCTCTTCGTTCTGGGTCAAGTGTACCAAATTTTCACCACTGTACCTTGATAATTACTTCTGGTTTTGGTATTGTATCTTTTTGTTTGATTGTTGATGTAATTTGTTTGATAGTTTCCTTCAGTATCATTACAATCAAGTGTTTCTATAGCTGCCTTTTAAAAATAATGTTTTTTGTGCAAAACCAAAAAACTCAAAGGAAACAGCACTTGGAAAAACATGATACAAGGTAAGACAAGTTTGAGTACTCATACAAGTGTCATTTGTAGACTTAAGAGGTCAGGAGTATCTAGAAGAAAAATACTGTTCCTGATCAACACAGAGACTACATGTCTCAGAGACACAACGCTCAGAGACACTCTCAGAGACTACTATGCTCAGCCTATTCTGTTTTGTTTTGTTTCTTTTTAGCAATTTTTGATTGCCACAATAGTTTAAATTAATATGTGTAGATAACTGCTGTGAGGCAGGATCTCCCTTTTTCGTTGGGAAGAACTTTGGTATACTTATTTGCTGTGCTTTTCATGAGTACTGAATTGATTGACTTTTTAAAATGTGTATCCAAATCTAGGATGTGCTGATGGAGTTGTTGGAACAATGTGCCGATGGACTCTGGAAAGCAGAACGCTATGAACTCATTGCTGACATATATAAACTTACAATTCCCATTTATGAAAAAAGGAGAGATTTTGAGGTACTAAGTTTACCATAAGTGAATTTAAGCAAGAAAAAAAATATCCGGTTTTTCTAGTGTAACTGCATGACACATTGCACTTCACAGAACAAGACAACTGCAGTTTTATCTGAAATATGTGTTGAAATTTTTGTTTTAATTTAAAAGAATTGGAACAGTTTTTCTTTAAATATTAAATAATTAAAAATTAATCTTACAAATTGCCATTCTGATACAAGTGCTAAGCATATTTCTGCTATTCAAGAGAACAGTGGTTTTAAGTATTAACTGTAAAGACATTAATTGTTGTTATAAGATAGGGAAATTCTATGTTATTATTTTATCCCATTATTGTTATCTTGTATTTTTAGAGGCTTGCTCATTTATATGACACTCTTCATCGAGCATACAGTAAAGTAACAGAAGTTATGCATACAGGCAAGAGACTGCTGGGAACTTATTTCAGGGTAGCATTTTTTGGACAGGTGAGTGTTATTTCACTTCATTTTGTTTCCTCTGTGCAGTAAGAAAAACCTGAGTGTATTTTGCAAGGTATGCTGTTTCAGCATCTGTATTGATACCATGACATAAGAAGCACAAGAAATATGGTCTGTAAGAAATAAACACCATCAATAATTTAGTTTAAAACGTTTATCAATTCCGATACAGTTCCTCCTTAATTTCCTCAGTAAATGTTTTGCTTTTTTTTTTTTCCTTTTTCTTCTTTTATTTACTACCTTAAGGCAGCGGTAAGTTTTCTATCATGTCAGCTCTCAGCAATGTATTGACTTAATGTCTGTAGTGCTACAGTGTGGTTTGCAAGGCTGCTTCTTAGATTGGTATGCATTAATAGCCATTGCAATTAAAAAATAACATTAAGCTCCATTTAGAGAACAAATCACTCTTCTATGCATCAGTATTGCATGCTTGAAACAAAAGTTCTGGCTGTGTATGGGGCAGCTTCACATCCTCTAATACATGTCTAGAATGCATATGTATCAGTATGGGATCACGCAGTGTCTAGTAATACACTTTCTACATGCATAGCCAGTTGCTAATTGTTCAGCTGAGCATGGAGCACTGTAAAATACTCTAAGCAGTATAACTTTACATGTATTCTGTTGTCTTTTATAACTTTATAGCAATACCAGTTTACAGACAGTGAAACAGATGTTGAGGTAATTACAGTAATTGCTTACAAAGCAAGCAATGCAGTAAAAAACTACTGCATTTCACCGTAGTTTGATGTGGGTATTTTTGTCAATCTAGCCTGTGTTTATACATGATATGTTGTGCTTTTCTATTTTGTCTGTTTCATTTATGACAAAAATATTCATTTTCTGATTTCAAACATGAACTCAAGACATGGCTTGTTGTTTTCAAACAATTACCTGTTTCACTTTCCATGTACTCAATATTATACTTAGTTTCATTTTAAAACAAATGCTTTATATAATAAAAATAACCATCTGCCAATATAGTCATTACAACATAAAACTTACATAAATAAAATTTAATTTTCTGCAATTATTTTTTTATTGTTATATGAAGAAAGTGTTCAGATTATTTTTAAGTAAACCGTTGCCAAAATGCTCACTTGTGAATCAGGTAGTCCTGTTGGACAAAAAGATTCCTGTTTTGGCAGGTGAAACAGTGTGAAAAGTTCACTTTTAAATAAAAGTGAAGAAAAGTTATCTCAGAGGCTTGGCACACCATAAAAATACAACAAACCTTTAAAGTTTTAACTGTGTGTTTCCATTGTCTTTCACTCATTCTGTAGTAGATAATTACATTTTTCTGTTTTTTTAGTTCTCTTAGGAAACTCTTAGATTTTAATTTCTCTTTATTTACATTTGCTTGAATCCTGATGTTAAATGTTTCAATTTGCTTTGAACCACATACGTTGTGTTCATCTTAATCATTGTTGTTTTCCAAGATTTTAATTGTTTCTTTTTTACAGGGATTCTTTGAGGATGAAGATGGAAAGGAATATATCTATAAAGAGCCTAAACTCACTCCTCTTTCAGAAATTTCCCAAAGACTCCAAAAACTCTACTCTGACAAATTTGGATCTGAAAATGTCAAAATGATTCAGGATTCTGGCAAGGTATTATTTTTTTTTTTCTTTCTACACATTTCTAGTCTACTTGAAATACTGTGGCATCACTGTCATTTACTCATTTGGCATGTGAACATATGTGTCTAAAAACTGCTGGTTGAAGTGCATGGGAGAGATACCATCTACTAGTAGGTTTACCTTTAAGAATGACCAAAAAGGTTAATTTTCACAGCATTACTTCTCAAAATAATAGTTGCATCTTAGACCAAATTTGGATTATGATCATATTCTATGTTGACATAAGCTGCATTTCTTGCCAGTTCAGGCAGAGTCATTCTTTGGAAGTTTTCCCTTTCCTGCACATAGAGAGCAGATTCAAACTTTCCTCTGAAGTAAGAAACAGACCCCTCTTCTGAGAAAAGTACCATATGTAAATAACATTTTAATTCTGTATCAGTTGTTCTTACTATCCTTTGCCTATGTCTCTGTGCCTGTTCAATTTTATAAAAACTTAAACCATAGAAAAAAATTCTCACATGAAGTCATTTGGTGAAATCTATCTAGATCTGTCATAGGAAGTGCTTTCCTTTGTAATTGAAGGCATCAAAACTGGTGAACTGAAGAGTACTACAGTATCCTGCAGGTGGAGAACAACACAAACTGCACAAGATGCCTCTCTGCATTCCTTTCATTCCCTTCCTCAGCCAATTTTAAACTGATTTTTAGCTTCAAACTGTATTATTTTCTTGTAATACAATTTCTTGTCCCTTCTGTTCCCTTCTGTTCTCTCACTAAGATTGCAAAGTGGTGGGCTTCTCAACCTGAAAGTGCAGCAGTGGTGGGGTTCTCACTGCTCCTACTCAAACTTGAAAGGGGGGGAGGGCTTATGCAAGGGCTAAGGTCCTTGCAGTTGAAGGCAAGAGAATTCTTTACAATTAATTAAAATGCATATGTTTGTCAGCATTTTTAGGGAACATTTCTATCAGCTGTTTCAGAATGAGTACATAAATCACCACTTAAGTTCCAATAGAATAATCTGAAAGCTGATTTAAAAAAAAAAAATCAAGCAGCATGTTCCATTAAAAACAGATAACAGAAAAGGGATCCTAGCTCTGTTTGTAGTCTGCTCCAGGACTTACTTGGTGACTTCATGTATGCATTAGCATTGGCATTTTTCACACCTAGGTTATGGAACTGAAGTGGCTCAACAGACAGGCAAAGATAACATGCATGTTTGACATGGTACTAAAATGGTAGACAAAACTTTTAGAAAGATGCATGGGTTTGCAGTACCCTCTTTATCTAATGATTGGGGGATTTTACATTAAAAAGAAATTAAAGTCCTCGGTACCGGAGATTAGTTGCCAGTTTTACCAAATTAAAGATCTGCCCGTCCCTAAGGCTCTCACTCATCCACTTCTAGAAACAACTTCATCAAATAGTGAAGCCTTCATTTGGGTATGCTTCCACCAGTATATTCTTTGGGACCCTCATAGGGTGTCAGAGTTGGGACAGACAGGTTGGGTGGGGTGCCTTCTGAAGGTGGTATCTGAACTATTTACAATATAGGTGTTTATTTTTAATTGTTAATTTTTTAAACATAATTCCAATATTTGGGTTCCCATCTACTATTGTGTCAGCTGTGGTGGAAAAGCAGTGTTTGTTTCTGGGCTTTCTGTTTCTGAGCCTTCCCCTGTTAAGCATGTGCTAAAAAAACCCAACAAACTGTATTATGTTTTTGTTTGCTGTCTCTTACAGCAAATACCGATTTTTAAAACAAACGAACAAAGCCACAACATATTTTAATGCATCTAGTGGTGCTGTCTTCCTAATAGTGAGCAAATGAATGCAGGGAAGCATTAACATTTACTGTGTTTTCAGCAACTAGCACGTTGAGACCAGATTTATTTTCTCAAAGCTGTGTGACTACATTTAAATCCTCTTGATTCGCTATGTAGCTATTTGGGTTTTTTTGTCATATTTTTAAGGTAAATCCTAAGGATTTGGATTCAAAATATGCATATATTCAAGTTACACATGTCATTCCATACTTTGAAGAAAAAGAGTTGCAAGAAAGAAAAACAGACTTTGAAAGGACTCACAACATTCGTCGGTTTATGTTTGAGATGCCTTTTACTCAAACTGGTAAAAGACAAGGAGGAGTAGAAGAGCAGTGTAAGAGACGGACTATTTTGACAGGTACTGACTGGGTGGAAGTTTCCTTCAAAAGAAAACTTCTCATTTATTGTGGTTTTTATTGTTACTTTTTTAATACTTAATTCTTAGTACTAGATTTTTCTATATCTTGCATATTTTGTCAGGAAAAAATCCTTTAGAACATTTCACATGTGATGGTTGGAGATGACAAGGATTGCGAAGTATATAAAAATAAAGTTAGCCAAAGCAGTCTTTTAAACAATACCTACTTGAAAGTAACACTAAAAATGTGTTATGCAAATCCACAAATTACCATCTGAGAATACATATATCGGTGTGTGATAGCCACTGAGTATTAGAGTAAAATCTCACATTTGACTATATGCTAACTGCCTTTTATTTTGTTGTTTGGGGTTTTTTTAATAATGGAGTGTTGGCAAATCTGCCTTTGCCCTTTCCTGAGTTTACCTCTCTTTGTTATAAAACATTCAATAATGTTGGTATTGTGCTTGCTGGCTTGAGTATTGGGTCTTTCAGCATTTTTTCAAGCTTTGGACATGGAAAACACAGCATTGGTTCTTTCGGCTAAGAGCACTAAAAAAGCCTGAAAGGCTGGTTCTGGTTTGATTTCTAGCCTGTTCTGTGTGGGTTTTTCCACTTCACTTACTTTAAGTCCTTTATAGCTCTCAGCTAAAATACTTTTCATATTTTTAACCAAAACTAGGTTCTCAGTTTGGTTTCTTCAAGGCCTAATTCTCCAATAAGTTTTCTGTAAGCTTCAAGACATGTGAATCTAGACTCAAGCTTTGCTTGCTATTAGACAAAGACTATTTTGTATTTTGTTTCTGTTAAGTGTGAGCTTCTGTACCACTGTCTTAATATAGTGGTTAAAAAAAAATAAAAAATATTACTTTATAATGTCTGCTGTTCATAGCTAATATTTGTGAGGGAATCCAATATATGACTTTGCAGGTTTTGATACTTGTCTTCTTTGAGATGTGTGAAAGAGAAGCAATTCTTTTTACAGTTCTTGTATTAATTAAATTCCCGTGGTTTCTTTCTTGGATATTATTAGTAGCAGTAATGACAATTATCATTCTTGCTGTGATACATGTAAAGCTATGCATGCTTACATTTTCAGTATTTTGGTTTGCTGTGCATTTGGTATGATTTCTAATTATAATATTGTATGTTGTACATAGTATGTATTATTTAGTGTGATACTAAATTGGGCAACTCATTACATCAGAATTCTAATTTAGGGTAAAAGTCTCTCAAAACTCAACTTATTAAAAAACTTGTTTCTAACTGTGTTAAACTTGCTTCCATCCATAGCTATACACTGTTTTCCATACGTGAAGAAGCGCATCCCAGTGATGTACCAGCACCACACTGATTTAAACCCTATTGAAGTAGCAATTGATGAAATGAGTAAAAAAGTTGCAGAACTTAGGCAGCTTTGCTCTTCAGCTGAAGTAGACATGATCAAATTGCAGCTGAAGCTACAGGGAAGTGTCAGTGTTCAGGTAAGACTGTAAACTTTGTCGTTCAGCTGTTTCACTTGCTTCTGTCTCTGAAAAATTTACATCTTATCATTGGTTTCTATTCTGTATATTCAAGAATGTCCTAAATTAGAAATGTGCTCACTGTTTGCAGTTATTTCCAGAGAACTAAGCAATACCATACTTCATATAAACGTTGATCATGGACAGTTACATAAAAGGGTTAAGATTTATCTCTGGAATCTGTGGTGGTCTGATCCCACCAGGTTTTGTTGTGAAGCTGAAACTAAAATAAAAGAGTGCCTTCCCATATGGGGATGAATGAGCATATTTTGCCTAGATGTAGGTTTGCTCACAGTAGGTTCACTATGGTCATTATTGCTTTTGTATTTTGGTAAAAGCCCTAGGGAGATGAAGATGGAGTGCTGAAATATAGGAGCAGGGCAATGGTAGAAAAGCTCATTGTGCAACATTTTGTTTTGCATATAAGGCAAGCAAAAACTAAATGTATAAAGAAACCATCAGATTCACCAAAACAGGGTATGTGAAGCAGTTGCAAGATGTATAAATCAATATAGTAAGATAATTAAGATCGTAATGACTAAACTGCTGCTGTGTTATTTTCACCTGATGCAAATATTGTCAAGTTGAAGAGAAAAGAAAAAAGAAACAAACCAAACACAACAAACCAAGGTTCCAGAATCAGGGAGTTGTTAATCTACCATTTGGGATGAGAACAGAAGGGCTCTTACTCTTTATAAAAAATAATAATAGGGATGAGCCAGAAGTTGTTAAATCCACTTTTCATGTAGGTGCCACAATCAATTAAGTTTATGTTAATTACTGCAGAATTGTCAGCTTAGAATAGTGTTTTCAGTAGATGAGCATACCAAACAGCTCATTTTCCCACTCTAATTCCATAAACAGATAAATTAGCATATCATTCCATGCACCAATATAGGTTCGGGGTCGGCCTGCTAGAAAGCAGTTCCAAAGAGAAGGATCTGAGAGTCCTGGTAGATAGTAAATTATCCGTGAGCCAGCAATGTGCCCTTGTCGCCAAGAAGGCCAGTGGAATCCTGGAGTGCATAAGGAGGAGTGTGGCCAGTTGGTCAAGAGAGGTTATTCTGCCTCTCTACTCTGCCCTGGTGAGGCCACAGCTGGAATACTGCATCCAATTCTGGGCTCTCCAGTTCCAGAGGGAGAGAGAACTATTAGAGAGAGTCCAGCAGAGGGCAAAAAAGATGATTGAGGGATTGGAGCATCTATCTGCCTTATGAGGAAAGGCTGAGTGACCTGGGACTGTTTATCCTGGAGAATCACAGAATCACCAGGGCTGGAAAAGACCTCTAAGATCATCAAGTCCAGCCTATGACCTAACACCACCACATCAGCTAGACCATGGCACTAAGTGCCACATCCAGCCTTTCCTTGAACACATCCAGGGATGGTGCCTCTACCACTTCCCTGGGCAGTCCATTCCAATGTCTAATCACCCTCTCCATGAGGAAGTACTTCCTAATATCCAACCTAAACCTCCCCTAGGGCAGCGTGAGGCCATGCCCTCTTGTCTTGTTGCTAGTTGCCTGGGAGAAGAGCCCAAACCTCACCTGACTACAACCTCCCTTCAGGTAGTTGAAGAGAGTGATAAGGTCCCCCCTGAGCCTTCTCCAGGCTAAACAACCCCAGCTCCCTCAGCCTGTACCTATAAGACTTTCCCTCTAGTCCCTTCACCAGCCTCAGAGAAGGCTGAGGGGAGACAGTATTAATGCCTACAAGTATCTACAGTGCGGGTGCAAGGAGGATGGAGCCTGACTCTTTTCAGTAGTTGCCAGTGACAGGACAAGGGGCAATCGGCACAAGCTGGAACACAGAAGTGCCATTTAAATATGAGGAAAAACTTCTTTACAGTGAGGGTGACAGAGCACTGGAACAGGCTGCCCAGGGAGGTTGTGGTGTCCCCTTCTCTGGAGATATTCATGATCCTCCCGGATGCAGCCCTGAGTAATGTGCTCTAGGGGATCCTGCTTTAGTGAGGGATTTGGACTGGATAATCTCCAGAGGTCCCTTCCAACTCTGACCATTCTGTGATTATCAAAGTGGTTTGCTTGTGCCAGGACAGGTTCATATAGCTTGCTGTAGAGACTTCTCCTGCTCTTAATGTTCGAACTCCAGCAGTTTGTTTATTTCTTAAGTCCAGCCTTTTTGGAATCAATGTATTCTGAGAAAAGTAAATCAGACAGACACCTGTAGTACCTGTTATTGCTAAGGCAATATGTTGGAAAGTGACTTTATTTTGTAATCCTTGTTCTTTTTAGGTTAATGCTGGTCCATTAGCATACGCAAGAGCTTTCTTAGATGACACAAACACCAAAAGATATCCAGACAATAAAGTAAAGCTACTAAAGGAAGTTTTTAGGTATGTTTTTTTGAAAAGCAGAAAAAGAATCCAAAACTCTACTTTTTTTCAAGATTGTTATTGTAAGAATTGTTTTAAACCTTTTAACTTCTATAGTGTTTTATAGTGTTCAATTAATCTTTTGGATTTTGTATTCCTGATTGAGGTTTTCTTATTATTTTATCTAAATCAGGCAATTTGTTGAAGCTTGTGGGCATGCTCTGGGTGTAAATGAACGACTGATAAAGGAAGATCAGTTGGAATATCAAGAAGAAATGAAGGCCAACTACAGGGAAATGGCAAAAGAGCTTTCCGAAATAATGCATGAACAAGTATGTGCTGAAATTAAATTATACATACCAGCATTCAGAATGTAGATGTAATGTGAACCCTCTACGAAAGTATACGTAGTGCTTTACATAAAATTATTTTCTCTTTTTGTTTACTCTGTTAGAGTATCATATAATGGAATTGTGGAACATTCTCTTTTTTTTTCCTCTGTGAATTTTCTGCAGATGCTTTCTTGACCTTCAGAACTAAGTCTTCCCTGTTAAGAAAGTAAATCTGGTTGGCACTAGCCTATTTTTTGTAAGAGAGGAAGACTACAGTAAAGATAAAACAAATTTAATAATATTACTATATGTCTTTTATACATAAGATGTGTAGTTAGAGGGATCTTTATTCAGTGGCCCAAAAAGCTTATTTTAGTCTGTATTTCGTTGTTAACCATAGGGGATTTGATCAGCAAACTTAGCCCTTTTTCTTTAGATTTTGGAGAAAAAGCATTTATTTTTGCAACGAAGAGTTAAAACATCTTCCAAACGGTATTTTCATGTTTTCCCAAGGGGAATCTACTAGAGACAAACTGGAGGTATGGGACAGGGGAAACCAGAAGTCTTGTGGAGTGATATGTAGGACCTTGCATCTGGTATCTATTTTAGAAATGTTTCCTGACTTCAGAAGCAGGGATATTATTTCCAGGAGAACAGAAAGGAATGAAGATTGATGCTTGATCCCTACCTTCTTGATATTTTTATTCATCATATTAATCATTTCAGGGTCCTTTTCTTTCACCCACTTATTTGTATAATCTTTTCCCAGAGCCATAGACTGGCTCATAGTTCTTACCCCTCAAAACTTCAGTATTTCTGGCACACAAAAAATACCTGCGTTTTCTGATAGTATTTTTTACCTTTCAAATGCACGTGTCTCTGAGACTTCCTTGGATGTATGACCATAATAACAACTTTCCTTAGTCTAGGAACCATTGCATCCTAGTCTGGATAACCAGTTGATACAAAGAGCAGCTCTGAGTTCCTCATGTCCATAAAACAAACAATAAGCTTCACTCAGAAATCAAATTGTACCAGAAAAATCAAACTTGAGACCTAGCCAAGGCATCCAGTCTGACATTTAAATGCTCTGTTAATCTTCCACATTTTTTTTCAGGATTTCATCCCTTGGATTTATTATGACTTTACCCATTTACTATTTTTGACATCTCTAAGTTACTCTATTGTTATCCAAGAAATACTTGCTCAACAAGCTAGTCAGCTTGCTGGTGTAACAGCTTGCCCGAAGGCTTCTCTTAGAAAGATTTGTCTTTATTCTGCCCTTGCTTAGAAGGCATCCAAAACTCTTACGGTGATTTTTTTTTTTCTGTTCCAAAATGTGTCAAGTGTCTGAAGTTCACTTCACATGCTTTCTTGCTCTCAGTTCTTTTCTCCATTCTATTATGGAGAATATAGAGAAACAAAGTTTGTAGGGGGTGATAACATATCGTCAGAATCCGTTATTTGTTTGAGGGTTTTTTTAAATCATAGAATCATAGAATCATAGAATCTTAGGGGCTGGAAGGGACCTCGAGAGATCATCTAGTCCAACCCCCCTGCCAGAGCAGGGTCACCTAGAGTACATCACACAGGAACTCATCCAGGTGGGTTTTGAATGTCTCCAGTGAGGGAGACTCCACAACCTCCCTGGGCAGTCTGTTCCAGTGCTCTGTCACTCTTACAGTAAAAAAATTTTTTCGGATATTCACCTTGAACCTCCTATGCTCCAATTTACACCCATTACCCCTTGTCCTATCACTGGTCATCACTGAGAAAAGCCTAACTCCATCCCCCTGACACTCACCCCTTACATATTTGTAAACATTGATGAGGTCACCCCTCAGTCTCCTTTTCTCCAAGCTAAAGAGACCCAGCTCCCTCAGCCTTTCCTCATAAGGGAGATGTTCCACTCCCCTAATCATCTTCGTAGCTCTGCGCTGGACTCTTTCGAGCAGTTCCCTGTCCTTTTTGAACTGAGGGGCCCAGAACTGGACACAATACTCCAGATGTGGCCTCACCAATGCAGAATAGAGGGGGAGGAGAACCTCTCTTGACCTACTAACCACACCCTTTCTAATACACCCCAGGATGCCATTGGCCTTCTTGGCCACAAGGGCACATTGCTGGCTCATGGTCATCCTCCTGTCTACCAGGACCCCCAGGTCTCTTTCACCTACACTACTCTCCAGCAGTTCAGCCCCCAACCTGTACTGGGACATGGTGTTGTTCTTCCCCAAATGTAAAACTCTGCACTTCCCCTTGTTGAATTTCATCATGTTTCTCCCCGCCCAACTCTCCAACCTATCTAAGTCTCTCTGAATGGCAGCACAGCCTTCTGGTGTGTCAGCCACTCCTCCCAGCTTAGTGTCATCAGCAAACTTGCTGAGGGTACATTCTATACCCTCATCCAGGTCGTTGATGAAGATGTTGAACAACACCGGTCCCAGCACCGACCCTTGTGGGACTCCACTAGTAACACACCTCCAACCAGATTCTACCCCATTGACTACAACTCTCTGACTCCTTCCTTTCAACCAGTTCCTAATCCACCTCACTTCCTGGTCACCAAACCCATACCTGATCAACTTATCCACAAGGATGCTGTGGGAGACGGTGTCAAATGCTTTACTGAAATCAAGATAAACCACATCTACCGCTCTACCATCATCTATCCACCTAGTAATTTCCTCATAGAAGGCTATGAGGTTAGTCAAACATGATTTACCCTTGATAAAACCATGCTGACTGCTCTTGATGACCCCCATGTCCTTGATGTGCCTGGAGATAGTGACAAGAACAAGTTGTTCCATCACCTTTCCAGGGATGGAGGTGAGGCTGACCGGTCTATAGTTACCCGGGTCCTCCTTCTTGCCCTTCTTGTAGACTGGAGTGACATTTGCTATCCTCCAGTCCTCAGGCACCTCACCTGTTGCCCATGATTTACTGAAGATGATGGAGAGTGGCCTAGCAATGACCTCCGCCAGCTCCCTCAGCACCCTTGGGTGCATTCCATCTGGACCCATTGATTTATGGATGTCCAGATTACTCAACTGATCCCTAACCCAATCTTCATCTACCATGTCAAACTCTTCCTCTATCTTGACCTCTTCTGACCTTTCAGATATGCATGTAGAGGAAAACAGTTTTGAAAGACCCCTGTAACAGGAAAAGGAATAGCTTAGCTGACAAAAATGGGACAGTTTGACTATTTATTTGACTGTGATTTACTGAAAAGCAAAAAGCAGTGGAGAGTTTTAGAAAGGAGAATAACTGATTGGGCAGCTGATTAACATAAACAATATATATAGGAGAATTAGGCAGCTGTACAGAAGACCTCTTTGGAAAAGAGGAAACATTTAAGTCAAATAATTATAATAAATAAAAGATTAATATTCCCCTGTTACAGGAAAAAGTTAAAGAATGTAATGACAGTTTGTACACAAGAAAAATTACTTTGAACTCAATGCAAGATATGTATGTTTAAAAAATGCTCAGGTGTGTGTGAGTTTTCAGAGATTGACTATAAGAAAAAGCGCATAATGCCAGAAACTTCAGGAGTTGATCACATTGCCTAATAGTAAACAGAGAAGGGGCAGACAACTGGTACCTATAAGATAGTTTAAAGAGAATATGAAAATACAGCATTGTCTGCAGTAATGTGTACTATTACCCTGCCACTGTGTTCTTTTTATAGAAATGTAATTAGTTGTAAATAATTAAAACACGCTCTATTGGGTTGGTTTTTGCTGTGTTTATTGTTTGGGGGTTTTTTTGATTGATCACTCCCTGAAGGCTTAGAATAATGAGGCCCTTCACCGAAATCTTTAAAAATGTAAACTTTCTATACCTGCTCATTTCTGTATTTGGAAAAAGAGCTTCTCATAATGTTTATTCTAAAGTCATTGAAGAAACTGTGAGCTGTCTTATAATAGTGTGGGTTTTTAACAACTGCAAAAAAATTGCTATTAAAAATATAGAAAATAATCTTAACAGATTTTTCTCTTTTCTCCTCTGATGCTTGCCAATATGATCAGATGGGATGGTAATTACTTTTCTTTACTTCTGCTTCTAGTTTGTCTAACCTTTATGTAGTACCTCTTTTTGCGATATTTCTGATCTTAGCATCAGTAAATTTGTACCTATTAAGAGTGAAGTCTTGATGGTGCGTTGATAGCTTTTGATAGGAAATGCTCAAATCATACCTCTAAGTCAAAAAAACAAAACAAAAAAAATGGCCAAGCCTGTTGTCATTGTGAAACTCTTTTTGAAAGTTAACAAGATAAATGAGAAAAGTTATTCAGGCTGCCCCTAGAGAGGACCTAAATAAAGTAAGTTGATGTCAGAGAAATAATTGGTGCCCTTCTAAATCTATTAGAGGATGTCTGAAAAGAGTAAGCATCCTCAGGAAGAAGTTCTATGTAGTTGAGAAAGTGCTGTCAAGCTGAGCTGATAAGCAGCAGGTTATGGCATTGGTTAGCTGTTTTATAAATGCTGAGGTCGTTTTGTAACATTGTGGTAAATACATGTTTTCCATTTCAAGATAACTCCTGTTGAAGAAAAGGCCAGTGTTATGCCTAATTCGCTGCACATTTTCAACGCCATAAGTGGGACTCCAACAAGCACAACAGTTCACGGGATGCCCAGTTCTTCTTCAGTTGCATGATTGATTTGTAGAGGAAAGTATGTTCATTTGTTTTGGTTTTATTTTACGTATATGGATTTGCTTCACTGTGTGCAAACTCAGGATGATTTTGAAGCTAAGTGTTGGGCACGTGCAAGCAGCATAATTAATACAAATGTCTGGGCACACTTTTAGAAAATAGCAGTTACTGGTAATAGTCTTTTAGAGTAAGGGAGGCACACATCCATCATTTGATCCTGCTGGTAACATTTAAAAGTATTGACAATGTCATTGCAGAAGTGCGTGTTGGGAAATTGCAAAGTCGAAATTAATTTCTCTTTTTTGCTAGAAAGTATTATTAAAATGAATTGCACATAACAAAAAAAAGTCTTGTGGGATGTAATTTTGCAGATATGTAACATTCAGGTGTTCTTTTTGTGTATGGCACATAGAAGTTGATTCCAAGTACAAGAACTATTTTGGGGCTAGACAGAGACACTAGTTTTTTGGGTTTAATGGAACTGACAACAGTAGTTTTTGTACCATTTGGCAAGTTGTGCTTTATTTTATAACTAGTTGCATTTTGGAGATCTGTGAGCTTACATCTTATTAAAACAACTAAATACAACCAAAGGTCTGTATTAATGAACACTGAGTCGTACTAAAATATCAAGTAGTAAATTGTTATGTACATATTGTTTGTTAATACAGTCCATACAGTCTGTACATAAATGTATTACATTTCTAAGTATTTTTTAATATTCATACCAGCTCTTATCCTTCTGCTTTTAGTTTCTTGTGAAAATTTGCTCATACCAAGTATATGCAAACTTTACAGTTCATTTATTCCTGTATATAAATAAGTGCAATATAAAGATGTATACAGTCTTTGCTATGTTAGGTTTATATGCAGTTATTAAAAGAAAAGAACTTTTTTGCCAAAGCAATGGAGTATGTAATCGGTGATCATGGTTACTGTGGTAAATGGTGGTATAATTTAAAGCTTTTTCCATATTCTTTTAAGACATTAATTTAGTAATTTTATATTTGGGGGGAAATAAAGGTTTTTAATTTTATTTAACTTGAAGCACTGTCCTGCTGTAATTAAACATTCTGTACTACATCTATATTAAAAGGAAAAAAGTAGTTAACTTTTCTCACCGTGTGCTCTGGTTTTTATTTTAGGTATGTCCTTGAGAAAGTTGAATGCTTGATATAAAAAAATAGGCTTTTTGCAGCTTAAGTATCAGATGCAGACACTTCTAGGACACTTTGTATCCCTTGTCAACAAAGAGAATTTAGGTTATTATTTAAGACATAAGTTTTGGATGATCCTGGTTTAGCAGGGGAGTTGGACTAGATGATCTCTAGAGGTCCCTTCCAACTCTGACAATTCCATGATTCCTTGACAGGAAAAATAATGTTTTCCTTATGACATAAGGTTTACTGTCTGTAGCACAGCATGAAACTCCTATGTTGTCATTACTCATCAAAGATTTTTTCCAATACAGCTTCATCCTGGCAGTGAAATAACTGTGCTTTTTCCAATTACATTTCTGAAACAGAATTCCTGTTTGTTTAACATTATTTTCCTTAAAAAAAAAAAAAAAAAAAAAAAAAAAAAAAAAAAAAAAAAAAAAGGAATGTAAGAAACCAGATTAATACTTCTAGACAATGAACCATAATGCTCTGATAAGAGACAGTCCCCTTTTTCTGCCTCCATCCTACACACTTTCACTTTTTCTTTTCATTTGTGGAAAGGGGTGTAGGAATAGCTTGTTATACATCAATGTAGTTAGTCTCAAAAGGTATTTAATTATTAGGAGAAAATATCCTGTAAAGTTGTTTTGCCTCTCAGGAAGATTTCTATATCATTATATTAATAATGTACATGACAGTAACTTCTTGCAATTACTCCAGTTTTTCTACGTTCCCCGTTGCCCTGGGAGCAAATCCGAGTTTTATACAGTTGCACAACACTTTTTGCACTGAGACCTCAGTTTGATGGAGTTTCATCTGCTAACCAACCTATAAATGTAGTATGTATTCATAATGGAATATGTATCTGTGTACATTTAGATAAATCTGAATCTATGTGTAACTGTTTTGCTTACTTGCTGAAAGCTGGCTTATGAAAAATAGTGAAATGTAGTTGACAAAACATTGATGGAGGTTTACATTAATGATTAACATGTTCAGTTCCAAATCTACAGACATTTTATGTTCTCACATGATGCATTTATATGAGAGAACACACTCTCTAATGTATTGTTTTGCTTTTAGATATGCTAATATTATAATTGTTGGGTTTTACCTCCTGAATAATTAATTCTGGACCAGCCTCCCTTTTCTGCTGTCTTGCTGCAACATGTAAATTAAGTATCTAATACGTGTTATTTTATTTGTGAAGACTTAGGGGCTCTGTATTGGTTTTGGCTGCAGCAGGATTATGTATAGTAGCTGCTATGTCACAATAGCAGCTTTGCTAGCTGCATGGTTCTGTTTTGCTGTTTGGATTATAAAAGATGAGCTCGCTGGTAGAAAGGCAGGGAAGAGGAGGCTGAAGAGATTTAAGTAGATGATCTTTCACTGAATCCTTAGAGCACCTATTTTCTGGTATTTTATGGGTTGATTTAACTGCTACTTTGAAGCTGGAGGGCTTGGATGACTTCAAATGCCACGCACTTATGGCTAAAAGGGAACTTTTAAAGCCAACACCTGGGTGTTCTTTTATGTCTTGGGTTGATATGTCTGTTATTTCTTTCCCCAAATGTTGGACAGTGCAGCCACAGACTGCAGGTTTGCTGCATCCATTTTAAAACAATACTGAATGAATTCAGCTAATGCATGCTTCGTTTTAAATTGCTTTTTTGTTTTATCAAGTTTTTTTTAACCCTCTCTCTGTTCTGTAAGATTCATTGATACTGGATACCTGAATAGCTAGGGTAGTTTCTTGAAATGGTGGGTTTTGCAGCTAGTGCTATATAATCTCTTTGTTTGTCACTGATATCATACTCCAAAAAATGTGAATGTGTAACTTGACAAATTAAGATGAGAGACATAGAAATTGTGATCAAAATTGACAGAACTACAGCTGAGATCTTTAATACAAGCTCATGTCCCAAAATAAATATTATTTTAAATTAGTTTATTTTCCATTTAATATTTTAAGCATTGGTAAAAGGTTTAACCAGCTTCACACAGACATAATTTTCAAATTAATGAAAGTAAAACATCAGACTTTTTTCAGGTGTATCAAGAAAAACAGATGCCTACCAGTCTAGAACAGTCAACAGACTATAAACAAGAAAATGCTGGTAAATGTTGAGTAAGGTCAAACTGGTGTTTAAGGTTTGAAAAAATTGAAGCTTGAAAGAAATCTGAACAGAAACTGGCAGCATAATTTTGCTCTAGTCAATGTTATTAGCACAACTACCAAGAGAGAGCTGAGGATTCTGATGGAGCTGTTAAGGGACATGACGTTTTTCAATGGCATGAACTGTAAATGGAAGAGATAAGAAGCTCCCAAGAAGGAGCAGTAAGAAAAGAACCTTAGTTAAGTAAAATAGTTCAATCCATTACTCATTCCCTAACTCTCAGAACTCCATGAATGTTGCTGGGGGAGAGCCCAGTACAAAGCTGTATTTCATTTAGTCAAGGTTTTAGTAGCCTCCTTAACCACAGTAACAAGGCGCGTAAGGGCACAAACACCTTTTATAATTGGTCTAATGAAATGAAAGAATTGTCAGCATACCTATTTAGGCTTTTGAAAGGCCTGTGACAAGAAAAGAAAAATTCTGTTCATTCATCAGCTGCCTGATGGGGGTTTTTTTCAGATTCCTTAAAACTTTTTTCGCTCATCACCACCAGTGATGGATCCTTGTTTTGCATCTGTAATTTGAAACAGCTGAGTATTTTCTCATTGCAGTGTGCTAGTAGACTGCAAAAGTACATAATAAAACCTTGAAGCATTTTATTTAAATGTGCCTCAAGTAACTCAGTGTCTGGGAATTCTTATTTTTTCTTCAGTATCACTTATTTACTTGAAAAAGATAACTCAGGAGAGGTGACACCCTACACTAAAATTGATTGTTTCTTGTTTTGGAGATAATGATAACTCCAAACCATAGGAATTGAGAAATGAAGGAATGCACTGGCAGGTAAAGCATGAGGCAGCAATGTGCCTCAGAACTCAGCACTGGATGATTAACTTGCAGTACACATCTGTGGGGAAAGATGAGTCACAGCCAGTAGTAAAATATGCTTATTGCAATGTGCTTGTGGAAAACCATTGTACCTAGAAAATACAAAGCTGGCTTGGATTCATTATCATTAAATAGTTACCAATACTGGGTTTTAGTGCATGTCTAGAAACAAGTGATCAAAACTTGACAATATATGTTACCAGCCGGCAGAGAGAACCTTAAAATGAAATGTACATTTTATTACAAAAAGAGTATGTTCAGCTTGTTAATTAAATAAATTGGTAACAACTAGAAGTTGTAAAAAAGAGTTGACCAAATGGGTACAAGACTATGACAGCAAGAGAGGAAATGTTTTGATTTTTTAGAAACTGAGGACAATGGTTAAATACTGACACTTTAAAAATTCACAAATATTATGCGGAAAGAAAATTAAATAGAAATTAAAGTACAGGAAATTGTTAAGGAATTTAAGATGTTGAGTGGAGAAATCTGCCTCGTGCAGATGAGGTTATTAAGGCATTTTGCTGAGGTTTTTGCTAGCTGCAATATAGCCTCCTCACTAGGCAGGTTGGTCAAAGGTCAGATTGTTAGGTGTGGAGATATGTTCAAAGTGTTTATGTTCTATCTTTAGAAACAGTCACAAAAGCATGTTTTTGCATAAAGATAATGATATCATTCATTACTCTCTTATAATCCAACAGGAATTTTACTTCTGTCAGGTATTCAGTATCTACAGGCCTAAAAACTGGAACCAGGCATAGTAAGAGTTGACTGAAAGGTGCTGGCCTGCTGGTGCTCCTTCAAAAGAGACCCTTGAGCACAGTCAGTTTGCAATAATGTTCACATTGCCCCAATATTCAGAGAAAGTGTGTGGGATGATGATATTCTTGTTGCCATGGTATTGGTGAGAAACACCACACTGGGAGGTCTATCACAAGATTCAAGTAAGAACTAAAATAGGCTTATACAGAAAATAG